TGAATGGAAAAAAAAACATCAAAGGGAAGAATAAAGACAAAGTGTTTAATAAAGCTTAATAAGGACAAAGAGCCTTTTTCCAGTACCATGAACGAGGAAGATCACAGAGTTCCGCCTTTCACTGCATGAATGTCAGCTGTAACAACATTACACTTGGAAGTAATATACAAAATCAGTCTTTGGGATAAAAATGTTTGCATTTAACCACCAAGAGAGTCTATTAAACCTATGATAACCAATGCACTGAAATCTTGTACTTATTTCCAGCACCCAGCGTGAAAAAGATGTTAAATGTTATTCTTCAAAGTACAGTAAGATACACTATATGGACAAAAGTATTAGGCAACACCTCTTAATCATTGAATTGAGGTGTTTCATTCAGTGTCATTGCCAGAGGTGTATAAAATCAAGCACCTAGCCATGCAGTCTGCCTTTACAAACATTTGTGAAAGAATGGGTCGTTCTAAAGAGCTCACTGAATTCAACCATGGTACTATAATAGGACGCTACCGCTGCAAGTCAGTTTGCGAAATTTCTTCCCTCCTAGATATTCCACGATCAGCTGTGAGTGGTATTATTGAAAAGTGGAAGCGTTTTGAAACCACAAAGTGTCAGACCATGTAAAATTACAGAGCAGGTCACTGAGTACTGAGACGCATAGTGCATAAAAGTCGCCAATGCTCTGCTGAGTCAGTAACTGCAGAGTTCAGACCTCCTCTGGCATTAACATCAGCACAAAAACAATACTTTTTTTTATGAATTATTTGAATTATTCACTGGACATTGGTGTTTTTATCATATTTTTTGCTGTGTTCATGAAACTCTGTGTTGCGTGCCTAACAACAACCCTTAACTATACAATCGCTGTAACCCCCACACCTTATTGCTTTGCTTCTAAAATCTGATTGGCGATTGTAAAATATTTGATATGCACACATACAACCACATATATCAGCTCTGTATTAGTTTGCCGACTTGTGAGGAACCATTATGTTGCTTGGCAACCATACTATACGTCACTTTGACCAACACGAAAAATTAACCATCACTACATTTGTTGTAAACATGCTTATTCACATCTTACAGTGGCGCCGCAATAATCTCTAAAGTGAGATTTTCCAGTTTAAAGACAAGCGAAGCCTCCTTTTGATCTTGAAGGTGGGATGAACTTTAAAAAAAAGAGTGAGGTTAATTGTTGGGGGCGGGCTGTCTTTTTTTTGAAGAAGAAGAATGTAGAAGAAGCGCACATAGCTAACACTGCTGCTTAGGAAGCCGAATATCGACAGACTGTTTTACTCAAACAACAGAAATTACTTGTCATATGAAAAGGACAACATGCTAAAAGCTAAAGTTAGCAGAGTAGCTATCATAGCTGTGTAGATACCTCAGTTTGGTGGTTCTTTTCTGGCTAAAAGGGTAAAAACCTGTCTCTGGAGCTGCATAAAGACAAAATCACTGTCCTCTTTATGAATTTGTTCGACATCTGAGGTAAGAGTTACACTAATTCTACCTTGGTCATGTTTGTTAGCTAGCTCTGTTGCTAGGCTAGCAGTCAGTAACATTTGTAACAATTTTGGATATAAAGTTTTGGAAAAGAACAGCAGCTGACTTTAATCGAAAGCTAATTTCTCTAATAAAAATGGCATTAATAACATTAGCATTAGCATGTCTTGCCTGTATAAAACATATATTATAAAAAAGAAAAAAAAATCCTAAAAATGTTCTGAGAATGCATTTTGCATCGAATCCCTTCAGTTTTTCACTAGACATTGCTATACTTGATCGTACTGTATTTCCTAAACTAAGAAGCCACAAGGCTGTGATTTTACTACAGGTAAGGGGAATTTGCATGTCTATCAACACCCCATAACCGTGGTAAAAATCCCGGCCTCTCGTGGTTTATTATTTCAGGAAATCCGTAGATGTGGAGCTGCTGGAGGTTTTTTGGAGGCCCACACTTTCCAAATGACTCCCATCTTCAGTGAGAGTTGAGGAGATGATGCGACATCCTCTTGAGGTATTCATTCCTGCACCCGATCTGAAATGAGTGTTCAGCAGAGCCCTCCTCCTCCTCCCACGCCACCAGCACCTCTTTACCCTAAAACATGTGACTTAGAAGAAGCCCAAAGATCATGATGCAACATTCTTGAGCGAGCACAAAAGGTTAAACTCATGGTTTAAGCAGGTGTGCACGCAAGGTGACAAATCTCGTGTGACCTGTGTCACTTCTGATAACTGGCAGTGGGTCATTCTGCCCCCAGAAATGTGCAATCTCTTCAGTGTCATTATTAACATCATACGGTTTGAAGTCCATCCTGACTAAAGTACAGTAAAATAAATAAAATACTTAACCTACATTTCTGTGAATGGAAAAAAACTACTACTCTTTACATCACAACACCACATCCTGTAGCTGCTGGTTTTGAGCCTGTGCTTGCAGTCTGTAATCGCGGTTCTGTACTCTGTTTGCACCTTGTAATCTCGGTTCTGTGCACTCTTCTAGGTTTATTCAGTAAAGACAATGGTTCTATATAGGACACAAACACTCAAAGGACTATTTGCTTGGTTAAACGGTTCTTTGCATGGTGAAATGGTTCTTCAGATTAATGGAAAATGTTGGTGTAAGGTTCTAATTATGGTTCTATACAGCACCAAAACAGGTTCTTCTATTGTTACAATGTCAAGCATGTAACAATAGCAGAACCTTTTTTAGGGCTATGTAGAACTGTATACAAAACATTGTCCATCAATCTGAAGAACCATGTCACCATGAAAAGAACCATTTAAGCATGCAAACAGTTATTTGAGTGTTCATGATTCTGTATAGGACCCTTGAAGAACCATCTAAGAGCTAACCGTGAACCTACTGCAATGTAATCTTCATTTTATTTTTACAAATACTTGATTTTCCTAGTAAAATGCAGGTGCTCTGAAAGTTGCTCTTAGTCGTGCACTGCATAAGTAATAATTTAAATATGACAAATGTGCTAAAAGACAACATGTAAAAAGATTAATGCTCACAGAAGCAAAAATGACCGATATTTTCCCCTCCTAATGAGTTACATCATAAGAGCTTTTTCACTTCAGGCCTCAATCATGTCAATGAGCAGCGCCACCCAGTGGCTCTATGAAGAAATTACTCGTAAACAAAGTCATTCAGAGTGGTTTGGTATGAAATGCTCTGTTCTAGAGAAACTTGCCGAGTCAGAATTGTTCACAGTGGTGGTGATAGGAACCAGACGTCCACCTCTAAAAGCTCCCTCACAAGAAATGTTATTACATCAAATGGCTATGAATACACTGCCTGGTGTCTGAGACATTGTTTTACTGTAGGTTTACTGAAAGTGAATCACATTTTGTATTTACATTCAAGGTGGAGGAAAAACCTCCACAAAGTCCCAAAGGAAAATTTTCAAGTTTTTTTTCAGATTTATCACTTTTTACCATCATCAACATTCCATATAAAACTCAGAAGGCACATGTAGGATCACTGGTGGTTTTGGAAAGTAAATAAAATGGTTGTATTTGTGTTGACATTGAGACCCCTGGTTCCTATCACCACCACTGTATAGAAATCAAGCCACTCTAATTGACTGTTTTCATCTCCACAACTGAATTACAGACATTTTGAAGTGGAATTCTCCTTTAAGTATAGGCGGTTATGCTGCAAAACATGGTCTGAATAAAAACTTTAGTTTTTGCTGTTTTCCTAGAATGAGCTAACTGCCATGTCTTTGAACTCAAGGAGAATAACTTTTCAGTGGATTAGAAAATATCAGAAAGATCAGTGCTGCCTAAAGCAGAGAATGCAGGCCAACATCAGCCCCCCATGGATGTTTGAATTTGCCAGAAATAAAGTTTTTTTGAAATACAAGTGTGTGTGTGTGTGTATATATATATATATATATATATATATATATATATATACACATACATATACACACACACATATACATACATACATACATACATACACACACACACACACACACACACACACACACTCTCTCTCCAATGCATTAGACAGGATCATGATGTATTTGGTAACAATGTTGTACCTACCTTTACTTGCATAGTTTTATTTTTTGACCCTTTAACCTAGAGCTGAACATTTTGGGGGGGCATTATTGTTTGACTGCCAGCATATCCACATTTTCTTGCAATGGGCTTGAACACTACTGTGCCTGACTCACAGCTGAGGTCAAAACAGTTTAGTTTTTCCTCCAACTGGTCAAAAAAAATTTGGGAAAAAAAAAAACCATGACACCACCCCCCCGATCAGTCTGACTGATCTGAATGAGAAGAGACCCCCTGGCCTACCTAGAGCCACTACCAGGAACTCATGCCTTTGTGTTAAAAATATCAAACCTTCAGACAAGGCCAAGCACCTCCTCAATTGTACTGCCAGACTACCTGAATGTTTGTGAATTCCTTTCGTGTGTGGCATGTAGAACAGAATTTTTTGGCCTGATTAAACAAACTTTGATGCTTTTGGGAAAAACTGACCCTTAGTCAAGGGTTAAAGCTTCCTGTTACAGTTCAGAAGCCATATTTAGTCAATTCCTATTTGATGAAATGTCTCATTACTTACTGGCATTTGACTTCTGAATGTTCTGTGAAAAACACGAGACGCTTCAAAAATCAGTGTTACATCTTTTAATTTCTGCAAAAACAAGACACTGAACATACACACAAGCCTGGACTCAGGCAAAAGAAAATTTTGCACTCCACCCCTCAACAGGGTGTGTATGTTTTACATGAGCAGCAGAGTCAAACCCTCCCAACCCCCAAAACATTTCAACCTGCTGGAATGTTCTATTCCCCCTTCTTCACACCCCCAGTTACTCACTTCAGAAAGCTCAGTGCAACAGGGTACTTGAATCACAGTTAGACAATGTTGCCCTCATTTACATACAACAAAAGGAAAAACAATGCAAAAGTCCTGAAGTCTTGAAACTTGTCTTAAGACACTTAACTCTGGTCCATTTGAGAAGGATTTTAAAACCATTATGGGCTCTGAACAGTTTGCCCTTGAGTGGGGCAAAGGTGAATAGCATTACAAAAGTGAGGCTAAAGGTGTCTGAGGTGGGGTTTAGTCCACTTCCTCCATGCGAGAGGCATCATCATCGCCCTCTAGTGGTGGGATCTCCTCTGGAGCAGGGGCTGAGCTGGGCTCCTCTGTTGGAATGTCATCATCATCAATACCTGAAAGCAGAAAGTTGAGTCCAGTTAGGCATGTCTGGAAATTGTGGGGATTTAGTCAGTACACAAGTGAAAAACAAGAGACAGGAACTTCACATCAGGGAAAGCCACAAATGCCGAAACATACTTGACCAGGATTTGGGGACTATAGTTTAAGTGACCTATTAAAATGTATTTTACCCCATTGTATTCCTAATTTTCATATTGTTAATTGCTTAATTAAACCTTACAATAAATTAAAGTTTGGATGTTACTTCCATTTTTTGTTTTACCTAGAAGGTAGGGATCACCTAATCTTTACAAATAATGGTGTTCCATGATGTAAGAAAGCTTTATGCTGTTCTGATATAAAACCAGTTAATCTGGGGAAAAAAAACCCTTACCGAGACCCAGCTTAATCATCCTGTAGATGCGGTTGGAGTGCGTCTGAGGATCATCCAGAGAGAATCCGGAGGACAGCAGAGCTGTCTCGAACAGCAGGATCACAAGATCCTTCACTGCTTTGTCATTCTTGTCAGCTTCAGCCTTCTGCCTCAGGGTCTCCATGATGGGATGGTCAGGGTTGATCTCCAGGTGCTTCTTGGCCATCATGTAGCCCATGGTAGAGTTGTCCCTCAAAGCCTGTGCCTTCATGATCCTCTCCATGTTGGCTGTCCAGCCATATGTGCTGGTCACAATGCAGCAGGGTGAGGACACCAGTCTGTTGGAGACAGTAACCTGAGGGACAGATTGAGACCGTCACAAAAAGACAAGTATACAGCACAAATAGAATGAAACTGATCATACTGTCAAGGACCATGTTAGATCCAGCAAAACTGTTAGATGTTTCCTTCCACTCAATCAGGGGAAAAAAATAAATAAATAAATAAAACAAAAACACAGCAATGTTACATTAATGAACAAACCAACCAACCAACCGTCACACAATGTTCATATAATCAAGCATTAACACAACCACACCACAGCCATTTTTTTTCCATTCCTGACTGAGCAAACCACACCAATCCCTCAGGCTTTTAGACTCACCAATAACAACCTTGAAATACAAAGTTAGGAAACCTGTTTTTGGCAAGAAGGTACAGCAGAAGAAAAAGGTCAAGCCCTATAGTCTTAAATTTCAAGTCCCTTTGCTGCTCAGCCTGTAACGTCAATTTACCTTCTCAACCTTCTTGTCCAGAATCTCCTTCATCAGCTTGCAGAGGTTTTCAAACTTTGCCTTGTCCTCCTCCATCTTCTTTTTCTCCTCCTCATCTTCGGGCAGCTCCAGGCCTTCCTTGGTGACTGAGACAAGTGTCTTGCCATCAAATTCCTTCAGCTGCTGGACACAGTACTCATCAATGGGCTCTGTCATGTACAGCACCTCAAAGCCACGCTTACGCACACGCTCCACAAAGGCAGAGTTGGCCACCTGGTCTTTGCTCTCACCTAGTAAGAACAAGTTTGTTAGAACAGTCTCATTTAGCCATTGTTAGCAGCAGAACGTAGCATGCAGTAAACAATGCAGTACTACTGTGGTATTTTGGTGGTGAGTAAACTGCACAGTGCAGTGCCCTGCACCAGTTAAACCAAGACAGCACAGAAAAACATTATTCCAAAAGCAAAAATTGTTCAGCACCTTAAACCAGAAACAAGACCATCTGAATGACTGAACCCCTTTAAGCACACCTGTGTGCACATTCATATTTTAAGTACCAGGTGAAATTGTAAAGCTTTAGAAGTGAAAGGGAGGGCACAAATACAACTGAGTCTCACCCGTGATGTAGTAGATGGACTTCTGGTTTTCCTTCATGCGGCTGACGTACTCCGAAAGGGAGGTCATCTCGTCTCCTGACTGGGAGCTGTGATAGCGCAGCAGCTCTGACAGCTTCTTGCGGTTCTGAGCGTCCTCATGGATGCCAAGCTAAAACACAAATGCTGGTATTAATTTTTCCTTCACAAAACATTTGTGTCACCACTTTTTGTGCAAGACTCATTTCCAATGGATTGTTTACACAGGCATCCAAACAGGGCATTACTGGGTTACTTGGGTCTCTTTTCAGTACTAAACCAAGGACCAACCCTGCTCCTGGAGATTTACTTTCCAGCAGAGTTTAGCTCCAACCCCAAGCCAACCCCACTTGAACCATCTAATTATTGCTTTCAAAACTCCTTAATTATTCTGAAAGCATTTCAGATTTGGGTTTGATGTGAATCCTACAGGAAGGTATATCTTCAGAAGGATTGGTGACAAATGTACTAAACTTCTTTAGCAGCTCTACTCTTCACGCCATGCACATGGCAAACTTTAGTACCCATAGCAATGCTGTAAGACCGCATGAGACCAAAAATAAGTAAGTAAAATAAATAAATTGAATTAAATAAAAAAAAAACCCATAAGCATCAGTGATGCACTTTTGGAACCTCTTTCCAAGAGGTACAAGCTTACTTTGAGGTTCTTGGAGAATGCTTCATAGAACTTCTTGTAGTTGTCCTTGTCCTCAGCCAGCTCAGCAAACAGCTCCAGGCACTTTTTGACGATGTTCTTGCGGATCACCTTCAGGATCTTGCTCTGCTGCAGCATCTCTCTGGAGATGTTTAGAGGAAGATCCTCAGAGTCCACAACACCACGGATGAAGTCTAATGGGAGAAGAGGGAAAATTAAATTTGGTCAAACTCACCATCAGAAGCAATTGGACAGTCAATCATCAAGTCTGAAGTTCCATCTAGTCATGTCAATGCCATTCCAAAGTTAATTTAGCTTTAAACCAATGATTTTACTCTGATTCTTACTCAGGTACTCTGGGATGAGCTCTTCACAGCTGTCCATGATGAAGACCCTCCTCACATAGAGCTTGATGTTATTCTTCTTTTTCTTGTTCTCAAAAAGGTCAAAGGGAGCACGGCGGGGGATGAAGAGGAGGGCACGGAACTCCAGCTGACCCTCAACAGAGAAGTGCTACAACAAAACATTTATATAAAACTTGGTTACAGAGCTATAAATGTGATTACTTGCTGTAATTCGGCATCGATAGTCAATAAGCTATCGAAATGTAATAGGCTAGTGCTACCAAGACAGGTCAGTTCTCATAGAACATTAAATAATCTTAATTTACAGCACCCTTTAGAGCAGTAAACCCTTAATTTTGCCATTCCTGAATACCTTTACTGCAAGGTGGTCCTCCCAGTCGTTGGTCAGGCTCTTGTAAAACTCTCCATACTCCTCGTTGGTGATGTCATCAGGATTCCGGGTCCAGATTGGCTTGGTCTTGTTCAGCTCCTCCTGGTCAATGTACTTCTCCTTGATTTTCTTCTTTTTCTTCTTGTCCTTATCTTTGGAGTCTTCCTCGTCATCTGAACCAACATCCTCAATCTTGGGCTTGTCCTCTCCCTCCTCTTTCTCTTCCTTCTCTTCCTTCTCTGCCTTTTCCTCCTCAGCCTCATCATCACTGATCTCCTTGTCTCGCTCCTTCTCCACCTGTAGGAGGAGCAGGAACAGATTAGCACAAGAGCTGTTAAAAATACAGGCTGTACTGCAATCCTTCATGCAACCACCCACACAGCAACAATTAAGATTCTTAAGTAAACTGACAATTACTCAATTTCTCCCCACTATATGCAAGTGTACATACAAATGTATGTATGCATGTATACTTCCATGTAAATTAAACCTTTCTATGCTTTATCATAGAGCATTTAGTTGTTAGACTCTTAACCTGCAATAACTTCATGGAAACATTTAGTAAACCATTTAAATGAAAGTGTACACAGACCATTTTAACACTTACAAAGAGGGTGATTGGGTACCCAATGAATTGAGAGTGCTTCTTGACCACCTCCTTTACTCGTTTTTCCTCAATGTATTCAGTCTGATCTTCCTTGAGGTGAAGGATTACTTTGGTTCCACGACCAATGGGCTCACCTGCAAACAAATTACACAGATTGATGCGATTATAATGCAAACCTTCAAACTTATCCTAGGTTTTACTGTAATTAACTATGTAAGACATGTAATTTAGAAATAAAATTAAACTATAAGTAACTAATTCATCCAAACTAAAAAGGAACTGACCACCACTTACACAAACTGCACACAAACCCATGTTAGGCCTTTGCTTTTTGTTTTAAATTCAAAACACTAAATATTACAATCAAACCAAAACAGTCAATCTACTCACCAATACAGATATTTAAATATCAAAAATCCAATGTCCATCATTAACCTGCTAACTGACAAAAGGAATGTTTCCTTTTTAGATGCTCCTGAATCCAAACATACCATGGTCAACTTTGACAGTGAAAGAGCCACCAGCAGAGGACTCCCAGGCATACTGCTCATCATCATTGTGTTTGGTAATCACCACCACTTTCTCAGCCACCAGGTAGGCAGAGTAGAAACCCACACCAAACTGCCCAATCATGGAGATATCTGCACCAGCCTGGAGAAGGTTAAAAATGTTTACATATATTACAGCAAATTCAATACATAGAACGGTTAAGAAAATTCTTTAAGAGGACTATTTGGGCAGGTTCAAATTACTTTGTTCTTGTGCTGGATGATATGGCCTCTACAGACACCGAATGATGGGCACTGATTTTGCTACAGTCTTATAATATTTGACAATTAAGGAGCTTCATCAATGACCATAAAAAATGGTGCCAAGTTCTCTATTTGTGAGTTTGTCACAGTATCCAGCACTCAAAAATGCAATACAAATTGTAACACTTCGTCAGTTGTCGTTTTAAAAGAACAGTCCAAAATGCAGTAATTAGCTTTCATTTCAGTGAGTGTGCATTATCTGATTAACATGTACAAAACTATGATTCCCTTTAATAATCAAGACAAAGTTAGTCAGGTCAGTAAAGCATTGTTTTAATAAAGGGCATAACACTGAGGAAATGTGGGCCAATTAAAATATGACATTGAGGAAATGCAATCTAATTTTCTCAAATTAAAACCCAGCACTATTCCGTTCATTTCTCACAGCAGTTTACCTGAAGTGCCTCCATGAAGGCCTTGGTCCCTGACTTTGCAATGGTACCAAGGTTATTGATGAGATCTGCCTTGGTCATGCCGATTCCAGTGTCCACGAGGGTCAGGGTGCGCTCATGCTTGTTGGGGATGATATCGATCTTCAGGTCTTTTCCACTGTCTAGTTTAGATGGATCAGTCAGACTTTCATATCTGATTTTGTCAAGAGCCTGTGAGTCAGAAAGAAAAGTGCTGAAATCAAAATCTTCTTACACATACTTGAGCAATGAACAGTCACATGTAAGGGTGGGCAATGACCAATTTAAGCCTTTGAGTACACCATGGGTATCAACTTCTAAAAACAATGAACATGTATTTTAAAAAATTAAAAAAAAAAAAAATTAGCCCAATTAAAAGAGCCTGAAAAAACAGCACAAGGTAACTATAAAATACATTGTAAGTAGTGGAATACTGTAATGTCACTGCTGCTGCTTTAGAGCATTTTATCCATTACAACACATTCACAAACTTAAAATACCAACATGCTTACAACACTAAATGTACTGTGGCATTATATCTTTACCACATCATTCGATCTTCTTGAGAGGGCTCTCCCTGCTTAAGGGGGGCAGAATAGTTTATTGCACAATGTCTTTCTGGGCATATTAAGAATATTGTGAGCACTTAACGAATAAACACTACATACATGTTTAATTACAAAGTGAGAATGATTAGACCTATAAGTACATTTAGAGAAGAGCAAACTAAAACAATAAATATAAATCACTATCATTTTTATCATATAGCACTTCAGGTTCCATTTTGTCTGTTCCAGCTTATTTCAATCTTAGAAAAATTAAACGCTCATGTACATCATATCATATGAAAATGTCTGTAGGTACTGTGACATTGCTGCCACAACACCCACCGCTTACCACACATCCAACTCTAAAATTGGCACTTACATCGGAAGCGTTGGAAATAAGCTCCCTGAGGAAGATCTCTTTGTTGGAATAGAAGGTGTTGATGATTAGGGACATCAGCTGGGCGATCTCTGCCTGGAAGGCAAAGGTCTCAGCCTCCTCCTCTTGGCGCATTTCTTCAGGCATCTGGAGACGGAGCGAAAGTATGAATCAGACCAAACTTACTTTTTGTTTCACTTCCGTTTCCTCGTAGCGAGGCCCAAAAAGTAATTCCGAGCTTACTGGTAAATTTTAATGTTAGTGACACATTTTGATACAGCGAACTAGGTTTTAATATAAAGCCACTCCTCTCAGAACTCAAAATGAAGCTGCTCGTGAACTTGCCCACTGTAGGGCTAAATCAACATGGCGAGACCTGCGCGGCTCACAATGGAGGAAACACGTGTTTGAGGAGGAAAAAACGGCAAAAACCAGAAAACTCAGAAACATGGTTTTTCCAACCTTAAATACCGTAAAGATCGACGTTATAATACCAGGTTAACCAACAAATAGATCCAACTTATACGTGATTTAAAGTGTAATTAAAAACTACAGAGAAGGAAACCGGTCACTCAAGCTGAAGCACATGGCTTTCGAGATACTAGACATTGAACTCGACGTTCAAAAGCAAAAAAACTACTTTTAAACCACATTAGATTATATTATGTGCCTGTATAATGAACACTTTATTTGTACTGGCAATTTCCAAGACGAGGTGAAGCTGAAGTTCGCTTCTTATTCGAATTGTCCGTTCCACCTTAAATGGTGCAGCAATTACATTCTGGTGGCTTGGGCGGTAGACTGTAACTGCTGCACCATTTAAGGCGGAACGGACAATTCGCGTAAGAGGCGAACTTCAGACTCGTTACGACTCATAGGCAGCTTGGTCTATATCTACATAAATACAAACCAAGCTAATACTCGAGGCTACCCCATTTCTCTCGTTATCTTAAATGTTATGGGGTTATTTAAAAAGTAAAATGTCTGACACGGCAGCCGGCATCTTTAAACGCAATGTAACGTTAACGCGGCTCCCTCAGCTGGCCTTTTAGTGAATGAAAGCCTTCACTACAGCTAGCAAACACGACGAATGTCAGTTGAGTTTAACTGAATAACTACATAGCAACTACAAACATCTTAAATTGAGATGAATAGCGAGTTATAAAACTGAATTAAATGCGGGGACCTCGCGGTTAGCTTTAGCTAGCTAAGGTTAACGCTGCTGTCTTTGTTACCGGCTCCTTTTTTCAAGGCGGCTAACGTTAAATAAACCCCATAGACCACAATGGAGTCAGCTTATTGTCTAAACAGAAAGAGAAATTAGACAGCCAACCTTTCTCTAAATCGTTTAAAACCCACCTTGGTTTGTTTCGTTGATTTAACGTGAAAAATGCGGCCAAAACCTTCTGATCTTCTCCAACAAGTGATGCTGCGTCGCGGCAGCCAGATTTTATACAGCCTTCGAAAATGCGGCGTATCAATCCGCGGGCTGGACCGGTACTACAGCATAGAGAGGGCCTTTGCAGTTATCAACATCTTTTTTAATTATAAAAAATACTTCTAAAAACGTAAATCAGTATTTTAAAATTGATATAAACTTACTTTCAACATTCAAAATTCTGACTGTTGAAATAATGATTAATTTTCTCAAAATCTTGACTTGTTACAGGTGGGCAATATGTAAACACAATATCATGATATTGAATTTTCAAGGTACACGGTATGTCATGATATTTATTTTTCCAAAAATCTGATCGATTGTAACAGAGACAAAAAAATCCTACATTTAACAAAAATCTTTCAGAAACTGTGAACATAGTTTTTATTCAGTAGTTGGCATATTGTGCTGCACTAAAACTAACGCTCAGAAAAGCATGTCGTAATATGTTATGACATCATTTATCACAATAATGATATATATTGTCACATTGCCTAGCCCTACTTATTATCCCCTCAAAAATACTTACTTTCTTGAAATTTAATAGGTCATTACCAAAAATAAGCCAGAATTTCAATGTTTGTCATTATTGTGACTTGCTTAGTCAAAATCTTGAGAAAATTAGTCGCTTTGACTTACTATGTCAATCTCAAGCAATTTTTTCAACACTGGTCAATATTTTGGAAAACATTTTATGCCTAAAGATAAAAAGTTTCAATATAATGTTTGATAAATAAGTCACAATTTTAATGTACTGCTGGCCAGAAAAGAAATGGAAATTTTTTTTTTATTTTCTCCTTCAGGGCAGGAATTTCTCAGGGCTTCCCAAAAATACAATAAACGGTGTTTTAAAAACAGATTCTGCTTTCACCTTCTTGTGAGCAGATGTCATGACTGACGTAGGTGTAAGACTACTTTTGGAAAATCAAAATAGGTTGTTCTGTAGATATTAAGGCCTGGGTTTGATTCCCCAGCGTTCTCTCTGTGTGGAGTTTGCATGTTCTCCTTGTGTCTGCCCAGGTTTCCTCCCACAGTCCAAAGACATGCAGTCTAGTTGACATCAGGCTAGTTGGATGCACTAAATTGTCCCTGGGTGTGACTGTGTGTGTAGATGTATGTGTCTGTCTGTCTGCCCTGTGATGGACTGGTGACCTGTCCAGGGTGATTCCTGCCATCTGCAGATGAATATGCTCTAGCAACCTCTGCGATCCAGAAGGAAAAGCAGCTTAGAAGATAATGAATGAATGTAAGTAGATAAAAAAATACAATATGCTGCTTGCATAAACATTCAGACATTACACATCCCTGCTGAAAAAATCATAGAAACCATGGAATGTTTCTGTTGGTTGCTGGTGGTGTCCAGTAGCCACTAATGGTATTCTGTTTTTTTCTCAATGGGCTGATATCACAGTGTAAAGCACTCTTTAACAGGTGTTCTGGACTGTATCCAGATGCATTTGATGGTTTCCTAATGGGATTTAAAAGTGTCCTACAGGAAACTAGTGCTCTCATGGGAACCAATAAGATAATTCTCATTAGAAATCTAAACTGGGTTTTAATCCTAATCTGAACCACCGTCTTTACTAAGTAACTCCTGAAGAACCATCTTTTTTGAGAGCATACATCTCACTCAGATGCTGAGTTTTGAAGAACGGCCTTTTCCAGTGTGTGGGTACTATGCATCTTCCACTTCCTGCTTATTGATCCAGCAGTGCTGACCAGAAGATCCAAATGCTTGAATGTTATTTTACACCCTTTTACTTTACGCATTTGCTTGCAGGATGGAGTCATGACTGGTTATAATTACCCAGTTTCATGTGATTTCAAATGATAATAGCTTTAGTTCTGCTCAAATCTATTTGTGAGAAACATAATCTACTTTTTATGAGGAACATTTTAGTCTGACACTGTGTCCATATTTTGTTGTTGTGTTTAGTTTGATTCTGTTGGTGATCTGTGATCTGTAGTCAGTCACACCTCTGACTTTGGGGCTTAAGTGTTTTATTTTGAGCTTCAAGAAAAGAAGTCGAACAAACTTCAATTCCTCTGCAATTGAAGTTCCGCTGCAGCCCCATAAAGAACTCAGTACTTAAAGATGAACTACACCAAATTTTCAACATTTTCTGCATAATTAAATGGTTGAGATGTGAACAGAGTCATTCAGAGTGGTTTGGTGTGAAATGATCTGTTAAAGAGTCAGAATTGTTCACAGTGGTGGTGATAGGAACCAGACGTCCACCTCCAAAAGCTCCCTCACAAAACATCATTACGCAAAATGATTATGAATACACTGATATGACAGGTTTAAGAAGATTTTGGCCTTACAGTAAAAGCAGGGTGTTGCAAGGAAAAAAGTTCCCAAACAAAACATGTTTTTTCAGATTTATGACTATTTTACCATCATCAACATTCTGTATAAAGCTCAGAAGACACGTGTAGGTTCACTGGAGGTTTTGGATAGTAAATGTCTATATTTGTGTTGTAGTCATGACGACTCCTGGTTCCTATCACCACCACTGTAAAGAAATCTAAGTCTCTACAGTGAACAATTTAACACCAAACCACTCTGAATGACTGTTTGCATCTCAACCACTGAATATTTTTGTGCTTTTCTAGAAAGTATTTTTACTTTTAGTCATTATTTCATCAAAGCAATGGTGCTTTCACTAAACTTCTGTTTATATCTAACCACTTTATCTAACTCTGGTAGTGCAATATTTGGTCTTCTTTAATGCACATTTCCTTCAGGTTCACAACCTGACCAATGATCTTTAACCCCTTAAAATCCCAGGCTTGTTACATTCTAAGGCTTATTATTCAGTAACTTACAGGGACTTTTAACTAATAAAAAAGATGTGGCAGATCCTTTATTGGTTCACCTGTAGAAACTAATTGTATCCAGTTAAGAAGCGACTTGGTCCTTGTTAGGACTTTTATTTTAAAAAAATCTGAGTAAGTTTGTAGCTTCCAGAGCAGGTTTAAATAGTTACATAAGCAGGGAGACATTCAGTTATTAAGAGACATTGAAAGAAGTCTTATTGAGTCCGAAGATAATAGGAGGACTATTTATTTATTTATTATATCTGCAGACAAATAACTTCACGTATTTGGGCTTTACAATAATAAAAATGCTGATTTTAAAAAACCTGTTTAAATATCTCTTGCAATACAGAAAATATCCTTATTTTAAATTGTGTTTGAGTTCATGCATTAATACCTCTTTACACATATCTACAAAATTTTATATTTATGAATGAATAAAAGAGCGGTTATAATCTACATCAGGTTAATTTAACTCTTCTGTTCTGGTATGAAAATGAGATTCGGATTTATTGACAAAGTAACGTTATGTCGACACACAAGGGATTTAATTTGGGCCCTCAGCGTCTCTCAAATGTTATATGCAATATACAGACAATGTACATATAATTTACAGACAAAAAAATACGCAATATATAATCATGTATGGGAATGAAATATCTTCAAATTTGCTAACATCTTTATCCCCAGCAATTTAAACCTCCAGAAAAATCATTATAATTAAAATGATGACTAGCTATGTGAGCCTGCAGTAGCTGAATCATCACACTCAGTACGAAGTGACAGGTGTTCTCATCGAGGCTGCAGAATATTGAACACTAAACTGAAATGGTAATCATTTCTTTTCTGCCTTGGTTAAGGATAAAACATTCTTCTATCGTTTATTTATTCTACACAAAGTGAGTAAAGAATAGCACGCAGTGTTCGGACAAACGCGCCAAGAAACAGGTTCTCTGTAGCACTTGTTTTTTGATGTGGAGGGATATCAGCGCTCCGAGGCGGCGGTGCTGCGGCCCTTCTAGCACTTTCCATGAAAAACCCGCCTGACGTGACGTCACTCGCCTGTCAAGCACATGCGGCTTTCAAGCACTTCCTGATTTACGGCGATAAAAGTCTCCCAGTAAAGTAAAAAAAGCGTATTTCCTCTTGATTTTGAATTAGTGTGTTGAATTAATGACAAAAGGCCCAAAATGAAAACAAAACTGTCATTTTGACTCGCTATGTCAAACTCTCAATTATTTGAACGTTAGTCAATATTTTTTTTTTTTAAAAAGATAGAGATAAAATATTTCGCTATAACTTTAGATATACGAAGTCAAAATGTTGACATGCTCCCCTCCAATGCATGACCAATGGATCCTGGAAGTTCTTTCGTGTATTAAGCTTGAAAAGTTGGCAAGGGATGGATGTTTTGCAGTAAAAAGAATTTGGATGTGCTGCTGACCAGAACAGAGATGGAGAAAAATACACGGGTGACTTTTTTCTCCTTCTTGCCAGGACCTTATCAGGCCTTCCGAAAATTATCACAGGCAGTGTTTATTTTCAGGCAGTGTTTATTTTCACCTTCTGTAAGCAGATATCAAGTCAAGTCAAAGTTTTTTATAGAGCACTTTTTACAATAGGTGTTGTCACAAAGCAGCTTTACAGACAAATCCGGGTCCAAGCACCCATGAGCAAGCCAATGGCGACAGTGGCAAGGAAAAGCTCCCTAACAGTGAGAGGAAGAAACCTTGAGAGGAACCAAGACTGAAAAGGATAACCCATCCTCTTCTGGTCAACACCGGATAGCAAACAACATTAGTATTAGTATTAGTATTAGTACCCAATCAAGGCAGAAGAAGCAAAGGCATCAGACCACACATGATGGGCAGTTATTCAGCTGGCAAAGAAAAAGAAAACACACAGAGAATTCTGTAAAGACTGACTGATTACAGTTTACAGGGTTAACAGAGCAGCAGAGACTCTGGCAGGTCTAGTTATTACAGCCTAACTACAAGGGAGAAACCAGAAAGGTAACAAAGACATGAGGCTCCCTCAGATGTAAGCGCCCCTCCGCTCCACTGTCAGCAAACCTGAGTAAACGTATGAGATCAGCAGGACGATAGCACCAACACTCCCAGTTTACCATAATACTGTATGACCATGAACCCCCAGATCTGCACCTTTTATCTGACAGGGAAAACTAATTACCAAAGGCTCGACTAAACAAGTAAGTTTTTAGCCAGACTTAAAGACTGAGGTTGTGTCCTGAGTCCTGAACACTGACTGGAAGAGTATTCCAAAGCTGGGGGGGCTTTGTATGAGAAGGTTCTCCCCCCAATGTAACTTTATTAATTCTAGGTACTAATAGTGAGCTAGTACCTTGTGATCTAAGTAGGCAAAATTTAACTGGCAACCAGTGTATGGTTGATAAAACAGGACTGATATGGTCAAACTTTCTGGTTCTTGTGAGGACTCTGGCTGCAGTGTTCTGGACTAACTGAAGCTTGTGGAGGCTTTTGCTGGAACATCCAGACAGCAGGGCATTACAGTAATCCAGCCTCGAAGTAATAAATACATGAACTAGCTTTTCTGCATCCTGTAGAGATTGTGGCTGATGTTAGTGTGGTTGAAAAAAAAAAAAAGAAAGAAAGAAATATCTTTGCCTTCACATGGTTAATAACTTGAGACAAATAATTACATTTTATTTTAATATCTGAGTCCCAGATGATATGAGTATAATGAATCTGATTCTCTTTGATCTTCAGACAGTGTCCTCTTACGTTTACAAATTAAACTGCTTATGAATAATCATGTTATGTATAAATGCCATTGAAGTATTAAGGATCTGAAAGAAGAGCAGTTTATTTATGGTTTAAATAAACAGTGAGCAATTCAGCAGATCAACACTGTAGCCTGTAACTGAAATTCAGAAATTCATACAAATTTCTGCATTCAGTGAGTGCAGCTGCCAAACTTGTCCAGATTAATTTACCAAAAAATGACCAATAAAATGACCAATAATAATAATAATAATAATAATAATAATTGTAAAAATGGTTTTAAATATTTTTTAAACAAACATAATTTTACCCTCCGACTGTGCACAACAGCACTTTTAAAAGATTATGTATGTTACTTAAAATAAATAAATAAACCAATACATAAATAAAAACATCGATAATAAAACAAAAATGGAGACAATATCTTATAGCTAAACATTATCTAAATGTCAAAGAGTAAAATGGCTGTTCAACCATATGTTTTTATAATAATAGCTATTTATAATATTTATAATAATATTATTATTATTATTATTATTATTGTTGTTGGTGTAATAATAATAATCTTTTAAAAGGTTGTGCTATTGCCATGATGTTAAGCTTGTAACGATAGAAGAACCTTTTATGGTTGCTATATAAAACCACATACAACATATTCTCCATCAATCTGAACAACCATTTTGCCATGTAAAAACCCATTTCAACATAAAATAGTTCTTTATAGAGTGCATGGTTTTAAATAAAACCATCGCCTTTACTACAGAACTGTTTATTATTATTATTATTATTATTATTGTAGCATTTAAATAATAAGAAGCTGTTACTGTATATAATTAAAATTTACCTTTAAAATGTATAGAAGTATATAACGTGTCTTTTAAATGACCGCACCGGAAGGTTTGAGACTTTTATTTTGCTCTTTCCCCTTTCAGCGCTAGTGTGCCGGTGAGCGCTGTTCGGTGTGTGCTAAGCTAACGCGCCGCAGAGAGACAGACAGAAAAATTGAATAATAATCGGTGTGGGTGAGTCGTTAACAACAGATTTCTGTTGTCGGACTTTTTCTCATTGTCTTTATCATACTTAAGTGCACTAAAATGGTGAAAGTCGTCGAGCGTTGATGAGTTCCAGTGCTGTCTTTTCGTCTTGAGTGTCGGCGACGTCGTTACGAGCCTTCTTATTCGAACTTCCCGTTCCACCTTAAATGATGCAGCAGTTACATTGTGGCGCCCGATGCATCAGAATGGAACTGCTGCACCATTTAAGGTGGAACGGGAAATTTGAATAAGAAGCTAACTTCAGCCTCGTAACGACGGCGTTAGCATACATGCTAACAAAGCTAAAGCGTTGCTACGCTAGCTAGCTATTAGCGGGAGACACATTTACAGATAAATTAACAGCAATATGTACAGTTTAAAAGATAGATATTTAAGATTTAAAATTGGTTCATTACAGGATTCAAACTGCACTATTCCAGTTTAAACGTAACCGGAATACCTAGCTAACTAAGTTATATGCCACATAATCAAACGTGTATCGCTAGACGAACTATAACGTAGTGATTTAATAAAAAAATGCACAAGATAAACAGATAGAGGAAAGGACATTAGTTAAACATGTTACATATTTAAAGCCAAGAAATGTGTTGCTGCATTAGATGTAGGTTAGTAAACATATGGAGGACGAGTTTGACTGCTCAACAAAAGATAAATAGGATATAAATACGTCTTTGAATAAAGAATAGGAGATCAGCAGTCTTGAATCAGCTATCATCATCTTTTAAAGAAAATGACATTTAGTGACATTAGTGCACAGTGATGATATACAGTATTGGTGATTTCCTTAGGAAGGTCTCCAAATTTTTTTTACCAACTTTACAATGTTTCTGATTTATTTAGTCCTTGGGATGCAGAGTAGTTTCATGTGAACTGGTTTGTTGTAGAGACTCAGATTTCTTTACAGTGGTAGTGATATGAACCATCAGTCGCCATGACTACAACACAAATATAGCCATTTCATTTACTATCCAAAACCACCAGTGCACCTGTATGTGTCTTCTGAGTTTTATATGTAATAATGATTGGAGCAAAATAGTCATGAATCTAATTGTGCCTTACAACACGCAGCATGTACCCCTTCAACATGAGTGGATTAAAATAGATTTTAAGCCAAAATGTTATCTAAAAGCTATCATAAGACAATGTGTTGGACATCAGGAAGCGTATTCATAACCATTTCATGTAATAACTTTCTGTGAGGGAGCTGAGAAGACTTCTGACTCAGTAAGTTTCTCTAGAACAGGGCATTTTTCACCAAACCACTCTGAATGGCTCTGTTTACATCTCAACCATTTAATTACGTAGAGTTGTTGGAAAATTGCTGGAGTTCCCTTTAACATTGTTAAATAAGACTTGGTTCCTGTTATCTAAGAGTAGTTACTGTAATTAGCTTAGGTGAGCTTGTCCTTTTAAAGTGTGGAGAAGTTCAAGATGATTGTGACAGGAAGAGAGAGAGAAGGCTTAGTGTTTGTAACTCATGCTCACTGGGGGTGTTACGTGCACATTTTTAATATGGTTTTCAATACTGAAGGCAAGATTCTGTTTATCTTTCAATATTTTGTGTTAAATTTGTCTTAATTCTTCAAAGCTATGATCTGCTACACAATTTTTTTGGCTCAGAGAAATACAGATATTATTTCAAATGAAAACATTGTGAAATAGCCTGACCTTATAAATCGGTGCACCTCAGTCTTATTTACAACCCCATACAATAAGCACATTTAAACTTTGCACTAAATGTATGCTGTGTAGGCACTAAGTAGTAACTAAGGCAATGTTTTACATTTTTGTCTGAATTAATTGATCAGTAATTTCATTGACAGTGGTTTCCACAGAGAGCAAGGAGCATCTTGGTGATACCAGTGATGCATGAAAATAAATATTCTGGACCAAACTCGAAACCTGAAATTCAGGACACACTTGACTGAAAACTGAAAGGGTTCTTTCATATATCATTTATTTTGCGCTTTTTAAATGAATGTAATAATGCTGACAGTGCTTGAAAAGATTATTATTAGAGATGGGACGGATCCGACCCTATATCGTTATCAGGACCAATATTGACGTAATTGACTCATATTGGGTATCGGATGGATGCCGGTTAGTACCAGCTTGCGCTGGACCATGAACCTGCCGTAATTTAACATAACACGAAACGGTACCGATCCATGTTCCATTCCACATCTTACCATGAACCTGCAGCAACTTCAGTTAGTAATTGAGTGAACAAATAACATCAGCTGTTGGTTTGACTAAAATGTTGGTTGTTTGGAGAAGTTTTAGTCTGGAAACACTGAAAAGCAAGACCGCTACTTGTAATGTGTTAAGACCAGCGTGCCGAGGGGTGGAAGTACGGCTGTGTCGTACAATATAACCAGTTCAATCAAACACATGCAGAGGTTTCATGTGAATGAGTACCAGGTGTTCATACTAGCCAAAAGACAGGAGGACGTCACCCAGCAGTGACTCGCGCTGATGCTCTGCAGACACATGATAAACACTGGTAAACTTATTACCACCATACTGGGAAAGAAACCTTGCAGAGATCTAGAGGACTATTTTAACTCTAAGTAAGGTGTAAGGTGTGTGGATGTGGCTTTGGTGTGCTCTTTTAGCAGTCTGAATTTTCTCCAGCAGGGGGCACTATTAGTCTACAAGTGCTGTTTGTGTTTGTCATTTAGAGAAGAAACAGCCGTAAACTTCAACTGGATCTAACAAACGTGTTTGCAGTAACAACGTTCAAAAGCGGAGGTGAAACAGTTTATTATCAAAATACAATAAGTTGCTCAGAAACTCAGAAAATAAGTCGGTTAAATCAGCTAAATAAAAAGTATGTAAGTTAAAGATAGTATGGAACGCAGCTGCAGTGGACTGTGTTTGAGTGTTTCAATGTGGAGCTACTACTCAAACAGTTTGAATGCTTTTGTGCTGATGGGCACATTTTTAATCACTTTTTCATTATCATATGAAATGAAGTGTCACTTTAAACCGTTTTTTGGTTAAAAAAAAATCAATGGATGAAGTTGAGACAGTTTAAAATTTTGGCACACGGTTTTGAACGTTCGCGTTTTTATTTTCTAGTACTGTGTTGACGTTTGTGATGTAGTTTGACATGGTTAAATGAAGCAGCATGTGGAATTGGAGCTTTCAGAGTGCTACCGTGTTTCTTATCACTGTGTAAAAGAAGCTTTATGCTGCCTTCATTGTTGGACACACTGCATTATTTTCTGTGTGAGTGTACACACACTTTCAGAATGCAGATCACATTGCTATGGAAATGAATGTTCTAGATCTGTTTCATCAGGGTGAAGGTCACTGAAGTGTAAAATATATTCCTATATGTCGCTGTTGTCAGAAGAAAACCTCGTATCTCCAAAATGTTAACTTTACAGGAGAAGGAAAAAACATACTTTACTTTTAATGTAAATCAATGGAACCAGACTTTTTTCCAAGTCATTTGGGGTCATTTCTTTTAGCCTATTCATCATGAAATTTACACACAGTGTAAAGGGCAACAGGCATTTTCAGATAACGTAAAAAAACTGAATAACGTCAAAAATGGAGAGAGGTTTTCTTCCGACAGCAGCGATATGTGTGTGTTTGCTGAAATAGGTAGTTTGTGACCAAAATAAAAATCTATTTCAAAACATCAAAAAATTGGAACAACTGCATTAAAAAAATCATGTTAATAACATGAAGAGTAGGTTAAGTGGCAGCAATAGCCAGTTAAGTAATCTTAGAGTTAATGCTCACCAGTTGTTTTCACATTTTCTTTTGCTTCAGGTGGGTGATCTACCCAAGATGTCCTTCCCTCCTCATCTCAACCGGCCACAGATTGGCATCCCTACCATGCCCCCAGGGATCCCTCCTCCACAGTTTGCTGGATTTCCACCTTCGATGCCCCCAGGTAAAGTTGATTAGAAAGAATTCATCTCCGGCCTGAGACTGAGAGACATTACCCCATCAGTTTACATTGAATCATTAGAGTTTTGTGACAGTAAAGATGAAAATGAAATGCCATTCTAGCATGGGGGTAAAAATGTATTTGCCTGTGAATTTTTTGTTCAATTAGAGTGAATTATGTAAAATGAGAAATGAAAATGCACTAATGTTTTACTTTCCCACCCCACAGGGACCCCAATGATACCAGTTCACATGGGTATTATGACTCCTACCCCAACGGTAAATTTTTTTTAATTAAAGAATAAGTATTACCAAATAAATTTCAATTTTTAGTCTTAATACTGCTTTAAATAGCTTCAGAGACCAGTACAACTTGTCAATGAAATCTATTGCACATGCAACAAAGTGTTGTTCACTGATGCCTCTTGTATACCATTGTACATTCAGTACTGTGCATTTTTACCCTGTTTGTTTGCCCAGGTGCTTGTGCCCGCCTCAGTGCCAGTTGTCAGTAAGGTAGCTGTCCCGAGGAAAGAGGCTCCAGCTGCCAGTGCCAAGGAAAGTGATGAGAACAGTGGGCCCACAACAACAGTGTTTGTTGGGAACATCTCGGAGAAAGCCTCAGACATGCTGATCAGACAGTTGCTCTCAGTAAGTAGCGAGAACCAGGGGGAATGTAAAAGCTAGAAGTGCACCGAATGCTGACTGCATGTTTGGAGGGAATGTCAGCTGATTCCGATCATGCATCCTTATTAGAAGCATGGCATTTGTTGTGTGGTGGCAGTACATTTAGAGATAAGTGTTAAAGTACTGTAGTGTGGCCCTGCAATGAGGAATTTTTGTGGGAGTTTCTTTAAAAGTTAAGTAGTCACTATTTGTCACTATTGCTCCTGTTATTGTTTTAACTGGAGCTGCTCTGATTGAGCATATAAACTTAAAACACCCCCCAACCCCCAATATGTGTTTGCATGTGTGTCTGTGTGTATATTTACATGTGAATTTTATAGTTCAGTAGTTTTAGTTACACAGTGACTCGTATTGGGATCCCCGGTGGCACAGTCTAAGGCAGTGGTCTTTGTACCCAAACTTTGGTTCCAGTTTCCGGTTTTGGATTTTGTAATCATTGGTAGTTAATTGAACTGTTGATATAACTAATTGGCTGCCTAGTATTACACCTACCAGTAACTGTAGAATTCAGGACCAGAAACTGGATTTAAGGTCCTGGTTGAAGATGTCTGGTCTAAGGTTTTGCCTAATCTTTTGAGAGATATTAGTTCAAATACGATCAGTATTGGCCAAGTTCTAATTCAGATGTTTTGTCCCTCTTGCCAAAAGACTGATAGTTCTGTGCTTTTGTTTTGTTTGATGTAAATGCTACAGGGGCACTGCACAAACAGAAATGGTGAAAACATTTACTAGGAAGGCAGTTAGGTTGTATATGGGCAGATGGTCTGTAGACTAACTAAACATCTAGATTGCCATAAATGCATCTGCTCAGCATTGTAAACTTCAGCAGTGTAAACTTCTGATGAAACTCTGCTATCACCCAGAACTAATAGGCGTAAAGTTGTTGAGTCACATGAATGCTGATACGTAGTCACATGGAGGTGAATGTAATCTGGCGCTTAAGGTCACTGAATCTTTCTCACTGTTAATGTGAGCTGATCTTGTCATATCGGTCATTCAGAGTTAATTTTGAGATCACTCATATGCTGTTAATGTCGTTTTTTTCTTAAACCTGAATTTCATGTTTCTTTCTTTCAGAAATGTGGCTTAGTTTTGAGTTGGAAACGAGTGCAAGGAGCTTCAGGAAAACTACAAGGTGAAAAAGACAAAGTTTTAAATATAGAATATGCCTATTACCTTATTTACTGCTTTAATGTTGCTTAGTAATGTTTACTATTACTTACTATGATGTTTGTGGTCTCTCCTTCATGTCAGCATTTGGTTTCTGTGAGTATAAGGAGCCAGAGTCAACTCTGAGGGCGCTGAGGCTTCTCCATGAGCTGCAGGTGGGAGAGAAGAAACTGCTGGTGAAGGTGGATGCCAAAACCAAGGCCCAGTTGGATGAGTGGAAGGCCAAAAAGAGGAGTTCCAATGGGGTGAGAGATTAGCCCATGTGGCCCAACCTTATAATTTGTCCCTAAGCATTTTTCTCACACATTCCAAATATGTTCTTTTATATGATGAGAATTAATAAACGGCCTGCCTACTTTGTAAAAACTGCTTATAAAGTGCTGTATCAAAAAAACTACACAGCTGCGAATATTTAGTGGTCTCACAACACCTTTTTCCACATTATTGCAACAGCCAAAATCTCACACTGCAGTTTCTAATCTTCTCTAAGTTGGTGGCTGTAGGATCTGCAAAGGATATGTTAAAATTCTCTTCTTTTGAAGTGATGGGATGTAGTGGATGCTTTTTAGATGTTAACATGTAAATTGTTAAAATTCTGCTTATTTATTTTAATGTTGTGATATTTATGCTAGGGTTGCACAGTATACTGTTTGCTCATTATTATGATAATTTTATGTATTTATTTATTTTTTTTGCTTTTTGCCAAAGGCTGCAATTTTACAAAAGAAGAAAAGAACTTTTCACTGATGTTCACTAACCACTTCAATAATGGTTTATTGAGTGCTCTGAGCATCCTGACCAGTCACACTTTAGATATTTGAATGAATCAAGGTCCTGACATGATCTGACCAACATATTTCATTTTGGCCAAAAATAATGCGGAACAGTCTTTAACCATGGACGCAACTTAATATATCTCAAGGAATTTGACAGTTGCGATACGTGCCAGCACAATTGCAGCATGATAATTTGCCCTAATTCATTTTGCACTGCTATTTCCACTAGAATGACAAGGCTGAAGAGGGAGGTGAGGAAGAGGAGGAGGTTTTGGATGAAGAAACACAGAAACGGGACCAAATTGTGAAAGGAGCCATCGATGGCCTTATCCGTGAGTATTCCAACGAGCTCAACGCCCCGTCTCAGGACGATGACTCCAGCCGCCGCAAGAAGAAGAAAGAGAAAAAAGAAGAGGTATGTTGGACTTGAGATTCTTTTCAGACTAGGCCTTGACTTGCTGTCAGTCTGAATTGTACAGTGTATTTGTCGTGTTTTTTTTTTTTTGAGTGGACCGCTGACAGTTTCATTTGTCCTTGTTTAGGAGGACATCAATGCCATAGAAATGGAAGAGGACAAAAGAGATTTGATCTCCAGGGAGATCAACAAATTCCGTGACACTCACAAGGTAACACATTCATAAAATTCTTTTCTGTTCCAGGTAGTGCAACAAAAAAACTGCACACTCCTAGTTCAAGTTGTGACTGTACAAGTATGATAGGTCAGCCAGCTAAATCTGACTAGAATAGATATTCTGAAATGGATTGGCTTTACTGATCAGGCCACAGATCACTTAATTTGGCTGAATTTTATGATTGTTCTATTCAAATTGCAGGACTTTATAGCAAGGAAAGTAAGGTTCTTAAACTCAGATTAAACCTAGCCATGGTTTAAAACTCTTTCAGTTTAAGATTCAATCATTTAAACCATGTTTTATTCTGAGGCTAGGCCTAATCTTGGCTCTAGAGGCTATCCCTGTCCGTCATGCGTTAGTGCCTTAAATGCCGCTAAAGATGGACAGGGTCATCATTTTTAAGGGCCTGAAATTTAAGAGCTCTTCAGACTTCAGTCACACATAAAATGCATGCACGTAATGTAAACTTCCCTCAAAGCTAATCTGTTCATTAAACCCCACCATTATGATAGAGATCATATGGTGACTAAAGCAAGATGAATCTCACAGCTTTGGAAAAAGTTGCAAGGATAGGATGTAAGTATGAGCTTTCCATTCTTTTCTACATAAACTGGGCGCCCCCTTCTGGAGGACTTGCACAGGGGCAACTGTGCCAGTTCTTCAGGGAGATTTTGTGACAAATTCAGATATGGGCTCTTTTTCTCATTTGTATCTTAATCATCACTTAATTTGGGAATAATTAATGGTATTTGGGTAATTACAGCTACACTGCCAAAGTCTGCAGACAAACCAAGCTGATATTTATTATTGGTTTAACCATTGCAGTTTTAAATCTATATGACCTCAATCCACAAGTGGCCAGTGAACCTGTGTGGGTCCCCCGTTATTAAGTTGATGTTCATGATTTATAAATGATTACTCCTGACTGAATAACCACTGCAGTGAATTGGCTGCAAGGCCAGTGTGACAGTAGGGGGCGCCCTTCCACAGCACGCGGATTCTCTGAAGATTTTGCAGGTATGAGTTCTGTTTGTGTGCCTGTGAACACTATCTTTTTTTCTTGCCTGCTTCTGCGCACCTCCATTACCTTTTATATCCCTCTTTCTGTCTTTTACTGTTTTAGACCCCCCTTCATCTTTTTTTTCTTGTATGTTAGAGCTTTTATTCTTGTAACCACTGCAGAATGTATTAGTATTAGGTAGAATATACAGGCATTATATCCAATTGCAGACTGACACTGTAACTGATATGGCAGAATCTCCATGTCCTGTTTTCCACAGTTCGAAGTATGCTATTCTGAACATTTGAGTATATAGGGACTGCTTCCTGGCTAGTCTTTTTTTTTTTTTTAAGTGGAGAACAGCCATTAAGAATACTGTGTAGGACTAGAACTAGGCTTAATCCCTGTCTGGAAAAAACAAAACTAACACAGGCATTTATCATTACCTGAACTGATTTTGGCATTTGTTAGCAAATGAAAAGAAATGTATCTTTCTCTCTCTTAGTATGTAACAATACACAAGTCAAAATTTGCTTTGACACAATATGGTGACGTCTCTGTGATACAGTTTTCACTACGGTAAGCTTAAGAAGTATTTCAGTTTAAAAAAAAAAAGTCAGTTCTGAGGTCAAGATACAAGTCGATTTTCAATTTTTTGCACATTAAAAATGTTCTTAAAAAAAAACCAAAAAAACTTGATTTTACAGAGCTCTAATTATATACACAAGGCTGGGTTACCCAAAAGCATCTTGGCACAAAGCTGATTCTTAAATGGTAGAGTGAGTATTACATTGAACGCTCTCTCTGTATCAATTAAGATGATTTTAACAGTAAGATGCTTTTGGGAAACTAGGCCCAGATTGGTTTAATTGAAGTAAATAAGTCCTCAAATAGATTATTTTCAGCGCCTCCCAGACTGCCTTCTAACAAAATACACCTCAAAAAGTACAACCCCTGAAACTTGATTTGTAACTGAAAGCTCGGTCATTTGAGTTCGGATGCGTGTGAAGTTCAAGCCCCACCCCTCCCTGCACTCTTTAATCTGATGGGCTACACTCAGATAATTCGTTTTGACAAGTGAGCCACCCTCAGAAGAGAGCAAGGGCGATATCGGCTTTATGGTTTTGAAATCCAATGCACTGTTTTGATCATTTATTTTTAAATTGCACCATTTCTATTACTTCAGATTGGCCCCAGTGGAAGATCTAGGCACGCATATATAACATGGTGTCCTTTATTTTTAAAATTCATTTGTATTAAGAAACCCCAGTGCTAAGCTTAATTTTAAAGTTTGTGGCCTTTCCTAACCCAACTCAGAATCTTCAACTTAAAATCTTCATCACTTCATTTATACTTGCCCCCCCAGCTGTCCCTCTCTCTTGCTGTCTTTGTTTTATTTTCCATCTGTCTGCTGTCTGCCCCTCGCATGCATGACATCCACGGTTTCTTGGATTCACCTTGGTTTTTATCAGTGCTGTTTGAGTCAAATCAGAGAGAAATAAGCTAGCAATATTCTGCGTAAAAGGACACTGAGCAGTGCCTTGACGCACTATTGCAGCGACCGGTTCACGTGTTAGCGTACAGACGTGTTCTGGAAACTGTGGGTGTCGTGCTGGCTTAAATTCTTTTCAAACTTGCTGAGTCGTCCCCTCTGGAGGACCAGGGAAGCCGGCAGTGGGGTAAGCCAGCCTCTACAAATTCATTTGTTGCCCTTTCTATCCAAACATGAAAGCAGAGATCAACAGATTACCATTATGCAATGCACCTGTCACTACGTTTTTCACAGAATGTTTGGAAGTTGTTGTTGAGGTTGCTTGTGATGAACGTCATGTAACAAGAAACAGAATTTTTCTGAAACTTTTGCATTTCTCCTGCAAATCCTTTGACCTGCTTTTCCTCCCAGGCCTAACAATAAAAGGCTTGTAGGGGCAGCGAAGCTCTGAATCCATAGCTCATCACCTGTAAGTCCAAAATAACTAGTTTCACAAGGATTGATGAAGCCTTTCTGTTGCTGATGTTATGAGGTGGAAACCTTTTTACAGCGTCCTTACCTGAATGTGATCCTTGTTGTTTGAAATTGTGGGAAGTAGGACTGGAAAAAAAAAAAAAAGTGGTTTCCAGGTTTCTTTGTAGCTGTCTGGTTGAAAAGGGAGGGGGGTAATCTGCATGAATATATGTGTTTGATGTAAAAAAAAAAAAAAACTGAGAGGAAAAACAACTCTGGAAACCCATGGTTACTCTCTGGTGTGAGAAACCATGACAGATTTTTTTAGAGTAGTTGCTTTCCTCTTGATATTTAATTTATTTGAAGGGATAGCTCAACCATATTAATGTTACAAACGATTGGAAGGTAGTAGCTACCACTTAGCATGCAGTCATTTTCATGCTGCTATTGGTAGCTATTCTTTTCACTGCATTATTAAAGGAGGGGATGATTTGAGCTCTGTAAAGATTGATTGCTATTGTACTGGGCAATTTGATAGGGTGCAGGAACTGTAAACCACTTCTGTGCAGTTTAGCGATCAGTCATACTGTGTTGTCCATTCATCTGTGGTTGATATTAGCCACTAAGGCCATGTCTCTGTTACTTTCTGCAGAAACTGGAGGAGGAGAAAGGCAAGCGAGAGAAGGAGCGGCAGGAACTGGAGCGGGAGCGAAGGGAGAGGGATAAAGAGCGTGAGAGGGAGCGAGAGAGGAGAGACCGTGAGAGGGAGAGGGAGAGGGAGAGGGAACGCGAGAGAGAAAGAGAAAGGGACAGGGAGCGAGACCGGGAGCGTGAGCGAACGAAGGAGCGAGAGAGAGAAAGAGACTGGGACAGAAGCAGAGACCACAGTGAGGACCGCAGCAGGTCTAGGTTAGTAAAACTCATCTCAGTCCAGTCCTTGAGGCCTCCTAGAAGGTCAGTGTTTTTGCTCTAAAGCTGGGCATGCACCACACAATTTGCTCTTTACAGAACTGTCTTTTTGTCATAAGGGCGCATACAATAGCCAATTAGGCAAAAGAAGGGTCTCAAATGAAGTTTTCATTGTATGCAATGTGTATTTTAATATTTAGGTTTTCTGAAGTTTTATAATGTGGAACAAATAGAATGCACCTGCAGTGCCACGTTAAAAAAAACTCAATCCAATTAAACAAAACCAGTTATGCTGTCTTTTTAATCAAACATGCATTTGGTCAGTGTTATTTAAAGTACTGACTATATCCACAAGTCTCAAAAAGCATATTGTCACTTAATTTATCTTATACAATAAAATATTGGAATATTGCCCTCACCTAAAAGAAATTATCATGTGAAACAAGGTTTGGTTACAAAAAACACTTAAAATCCCAAATCTCATTTCCATCTTATGCCACCAGAGTATCCATGCTGTGAACTGGAACTGAACTCTGCAGGATGGTAGATCTTCAGGACTGACATTGGGCAGTTCTATATTTATATGCCAGTATTTTGTCAGTCTTGCGACAAAATGTTGATTTTCAAAATGGCAACTTAACAGGAGGCGGAAAAAATGTTCATGCAACACCGTCAAGAAACTGTAAAGTATTTCTATTGATACTTTCATCATGATAGTAACATGTTGTAAAGGACAGGTGAAGTTTTTAAATTCTGTAAAATGTTTTTAAAAATGAGATGCAACATTTTATTCCAGCAGCAGCAACATTTGCGTGTTTACAGATGTTTTCTGTAAAATCCCATCTGGGACATAACCTGAGGGATCATATCGATCATCATAATGTGCAAATCTTAAGATTGAACCTTTGCTGCTATTATCTTATTATGCCACTCTGCTGATAGATTCTGATATTATTGTACATCACTGTTATTACTGACTTGATAAATGGATGATCATGTATGACTTTCCTGACCATGGTTGTTATTATAATGTGTGGATTTGTGATTGTCGTTTTTTTTCGTTTTATACGTTTTATACGTTTTATCGAATGGTGATTTTAATTGGTCATGGTGATGTTTCAGAGAACAAAGCCGTGATCGAGACAGAGACAAGGAAAAGAAGCGGGACCGTGAAGAAGATGAGGAAGAAGCTTATGAGCGCCGTAAGCTGGAGAGGAAGCTCAGGGAGAAGGAAGCTGCCTATCAGGAGGTATGTGGAGATCATGCTTAGCTTTACTATGGCACATTCTGTGTCAGTGCTTTTGCTTAGTTAAACATTAGGCATATGTGTATTAAGCACTATTGGATTGTTTTTCCCAGATTAGGTTGTGAAAGGTAACAAGGGATTTAATTGGTTTGGGTTAAAGTATCTGTGTGATTCACCTGAATTCCCATGGATAGCCTGGATTGAGAGGTCATACTTGTGGGTGTTTGTAATAGTGTTATGCCACAGGACACATTCAATAACAGCATGCTGCGCAGACCCTTTGTTACCAAGTTATTCCATTAGCGTGAGATGGATGTGAACAGAACTACTATTGCTGAGAGGGCACTGGGTTCAGCCAATTACAGAAGACCATTAAGTCCACGGTTATTACTGTCACACTATTAAGACCAATATACACTGCAGATTCATACTGGATTAAAATCACTCCACAATTTTGCTGTCAAACTGAAAAGGACGCACTGCAATTCATACTGCATTAAAATCGCTTTACAATTGTTGTCAGACTGAAAAAGTTATACAAACTGTAGAATCGTAACAGATTAAAGCCAGTCTGCTATTATTACTTACAGATTGTAAAAACCCAATACACTGCAGATTTGTATTGGATCCTCCTTAATCACTTAAATGGTGGTCCCTCTCCAAGTAAATGTGTCCAGCTCCAACAGGGATTTAGAAGGTTTTCCATAGTTCAAGTTAACGAATTATTTAGTAGTAGTTGTAAATCAAGGCGATTGTGATACACTTATGTTCTTGAAGACATTTTGCCAATCATCCGAGGGGATATCAGTTTAACCTTTAACAAATCCAACTGACTATGACGTTACAGTAGATTGCACGTCATGTTTTCCTGCTGGTCTTTTGCTGGTTGTTACTGGTTAATAATGTCTGCTTATTTGTGCTCTAAAGCGACTGAAGAACTGGGAGCTGAGAGAGAGGAAGAAAGCGAGAGACTACGCTAAGGAAGCGGAGAGAGAGGATGAGCGCCGGCGAGAGACGGTGAGAGAAAGGGATCTGATACTGTTTCTGTTATTGCTGGCTAGAAAAGTTAGTAACAAGAATAATTTATTTATATTTCTTGGGAAATTTAGGTGTTAAAGCAGCGTACATAGATTAGAAAGTAGGTAAGAACAACATAGCTTTAAGATAAATTGTAATCATTGTTATGGATTTATTTTTGAACAGTGTTGAAAGCACTATTTTTCCTTCTATCTGAAAAGTAGAAGTCTTTTCTAATTGGGGAAAATTGTCACAAATTTGCCCTTGTTTGTTTTAAGGATTGTGTGCATGCTTAGTTTAAGTAATCATTGTTTGCTAACAGAGAATATGTTCTTTGTCTGCTGTCACTTAAACAGGCTAAAGAAGGCAAACGACTAAAAGAGTTCCTGGAGGACTATGATGATGACCGAGATGACCCAAAATATTACAAGTACGTTCCAGATCCAGCTATTATTAATAACCAAGACTAGTCTCCTTACTAATGACAGTATTAGTGCAATCGTGATTATTCTAACTTGATTAAGCACCTAATCAGAGTAAATCTAATCTTATTTACAAAACCTAGATTTCTTACCTGTCTGAGGCTTGTAAATACTTAAGCAGATTTCTCCTGCCATCATTTGGTTTTACAGACTGTAGACAAGACAAGCAGAAGCTTGAATAGTGCAGATACATATGTTTTTTAAGTGAATGTGGTTAGAGGCTAAAAGCATGCATGAGTCTTGGAGTTATAACATACAGTCTGATGCAAAAGTTTGGATGCCCCTGGTCGAATTACATGTTTTGTTGAAATGAAAAGAAATAAAAATAGGTTAACACATCCTCTACAGGGAACCAGCTGAAATATGGCATTTTTTGCTAATTTTAGTGCACTTTTATTTATTTGTTGAGTTGGGGGAAAAACATAGAATACATAATGTAAAAAACCACAACTTTTGCCCAAGCCATTGTGCAGTAAAATGTGCATAGGTGTGTTCTCTATAAAGATTTTTGAACTTATTTTTACTTAGAAAATCAACAAAATGTCATTTGACAGCGGTGCCCAAACATTTGCATACGAATGTACGTCTTTGCCTAAGTGATACTGCACACTGTGTACATAAAAGATCAACAGCAGAAATTAGGCTGTTAGCCTAGATTTATATGAGAAGCAGTGTTGCACAGTGCGAAAACGAATAATTCAAAGCTTTAAATTGCACATTGTGTAAGCCTGACTGCTGCCTATCACATAGCTGATGTACAAGACTACACTGATGCACACAGAAGCAGACTGCTAAAATGCAGCAGTTCCAGCTTCTGCATTAAAATCTGGATTAGCTGTGTTTTTCATGGGGAAAACAAAAGAGAAGAAAAAAATAATACAAAGGCACAAATGTAGGCCTGTCATAAGCCTGTCAGTGTTTTTTTTTTTTTTTTAACCATTTTGGTGTTGCATTGATCACTGCAGATTGATAATTTATTGTTCGCCAGGGGCATCAAATACATTTACAGGACATTTTATACTGTACTTATATTGTTGTGTCTATTTGCAGGGGTCTAAAAATATATTTGAAAATTTAAGGTCATAAAACATCTGAAAATGTCTTCTCTTTTTACTGTTAGAAGCATAAAAGTTGGCAATGTCCAGGCAGATTTTATTGAATCCGGTGTTGACTAAGTCTAATCTGGTTCTGCTGTTGTAGATGTGCCATAAATGGACTTACCACAAACTGGAGCAGTAAGGCATGTTTTCAGAAGGGGGATCAGGGACGTTCCCATTTAAAATTAAAGTCTTTAGTTCCTAAACAATAGGTCATTTTGTGTATTAAACTAATTCAGAACAGTCTGTCAACCAAAACTATCCAGCCGACAGCAGTTCTGTGGTCAGAAACTGACCACTGATGAAGGGCTAGAAGACGGCAAAACTAACAAAGTCAAACACAGTGAAGACCATCTGTTTGAATAAAATAGACATGAATACATGTCTTATTTAGGTCTGTATGCACTGTTTTGTGGTGGAAATGGTATTATTATTGCTATGTCGAGGTCTTAAGAAGGTACCTAAAAGCCCTGTTGAGAACACAACAGAGAATTTTGCTTAAACCAAAAGAGATGCCTGCGTTTGTAGTCAGAAACTTATTTTACTGTCTGGACTACAGATTAAAAGAACAGATTGTGAGGTGCATGTTTTTGTTCAACTATATGGCCAATTTGATACTACCATCAGTTGGCTTATTCCTTAGCAACAGGACTGATCTAGAGGTAGAAGAGTTGGTAACAGTAACTAAGGAAGACAGGATTTCACATCATTAACCATATATTCCATCATATTGTTAAACAGCGCTATAAAAGTGCAGTAACTCAGAAAAAGCCATTCAGAGCCTGTAGATGTGTAAATAAAGCTACTGCAGTAATTCAGGTATTTCCAGTAAACTACTTTGTTCATGTGAATATACTGACTGATAACTATTTATTGGCAAAGAAACATTGTCTAAAAAACAAAACTGGTAAATGAGCTAACCAGTTAAGTGTAAGCTATCTTTGAGCTGATACTAAAGTGTCTTTGCTCAGCTCAGATGAGCTCAGTGCTACCTTCTTTTGGGCCTGAATTTAGCTTGTTATAGTCCATGAGTCATAGCCCACCCACTTGGCTCCTGCTTTATTTCCATAGTCACACACTGAGTGTCGTTCTGTAAATGGGAGGTCTTTAAAGCCGTCCGTGCTGTTTCTGTGTTTGACCTGTAGGGGCAGCGCACTGCAGAAGCGCCTGCGGGACAGAGAGAAGGAGATGGAACTGGATGAGAGAGACAGGAAGCGAGAAAAGGAAGAACTGGAGGAGATCAGGCAGAGGCTGCTGGCTGAGGGGCATCCTGATCCAGACGCAGAGCTGCGCAGGGTACGCCTCAACGCTGCTCATGTTCTTCTCTTTCTGTCTACCTCAATTACATACTTGCAGAGACATCAGTCTGCTGTCATTGTTTTTTTTAACAACATTCTGCAGCATTGTGTCCTGTTCATTGTTTTCTTTTTTGGCCTTAAAGCAGTGTCAATCTTTTTGTCTTAATTCTGTCCTTCAGTAAGGGTGCATTACTTGTTGACCTGTTACTGAAATCTGTAAGTGTAATTTGACCTAGCTGAATAGTTTGTTAGAAATCAGTGAACGATTATATATATATATTTTTTAAGTCAAGGTCAAATAAAGGACAGTGTATTAGATCGTAAAGCCGCACAGGCAGTGGAAGTCAAGATGATTAGGCTGGGCATCAAAATGTAATACTTTTATTGGTACTGACCAAATTACTTCTCTTCTAACTAGTAGAGGTGGACGGTATGACCTTTTTTTTTTATCATAATAAATTTTATTATTGTGATACACATTATGCTTTTTTGAGCATATTGTGGATATTGTCAATACTTAAATACTTGTGTGTTTCAATAATTAGTCCTGTGTAACTGGCCTCAGTGCAGTACAGAATGTAATGTTAAATAAAAATCATTGTACCCAGAGTTATTGAAAGTAGCTTTTTAATGTGGCACTAGGGCTTTGTGCCTGTCAAAATATTGTGATATGTATTGTGGTATGTTTTTGCCATATCACCTAACCCCACTTAAGTACTGAAAAAAATTCTTGTTCATGAATCGGTATTGAAGTCAACTTATCAATGTGTGTACATTTTCACAATGGGGGGAAAAAACAGCTCAGATAGCTCACTTCAGCTATGAAGTGAGAATTATTACCATTTGACAAGCGTATGAGGCCTTGGAGGTTCTGTAGTGGCACTAATCCTTAGGTTTTTTTTTTTCTCCCCCTCAGATGGAGGAGGAGGCTGAGCGTTTGCGACAGCCGCCTGTGAAGCCGGAGCCTGAGGAGGAACGAGAACACAAGCCGTCTCGGGAGGAAAGAGAACGCGGCCGTGAGCGGGAGCGGGAACGGGAGCGGGAGCGGCGCCGAACAGTAGAAACACATGTTCAGTCCCGGTCAGACGACGATGTGGAGGATGGAGAGGAAGTGGAGGATGAAGAAGACTCTAAACCGTGCCTCAAGCCCACCATGAGGCCCATCATGGCTGCTCCCTCAGTGTCCTCGGCCAGCGGCAATGCTACCCCCAACACACCCAGAGAAGAATCGCCCTGCGGCATCATCATCCCCCATGAACACTCGCCTCCAGAGAGCCAGCCACAGGAAGAGCACCGGCCTAAGATCGGCCTCAGCCTCAAACTAGGTGAGGCAGCACAATTATGAAGAAAACAGTTTGTCCCTTCAGGGTATTCTATTGGAGCCCCTTAACAACATGGGCTCACCCTCTTAAAGCTGGTTCTTCATGGGTTTGTTACTGATGCTCTGTAGGGGTTAGGTGTTGTGTGTTTGTATATAGATAATAAAGTACTCTGTTAAATATTCAGGATGCTAGTATACGTATGCAGACATCTTTATTCGTTAAAGTCTGAGAATTCATCACTGGAAATCAGGGAGAAAGTATTGTGATGAAAAAGAAGAGTCATGTCTGGTGATACTTTGGTGCGTAAAGCCTCTTTGTCGTGGTCTGCAAGCTTTAGAACCTCAAACTTGACTACACAAATGCGTGTGCTGCCAACTGGACAAGTTTATTCATATTCTAATAAATTGACGTTTTTCTTTTCCTGTGGTTAACCGAACATCTGAAGTTAATCGAAATGCACATCACTAGTACTAACCCAAGTACAGAAGTTTAGACACCAGCCAGTATTGAGTAGTGGTGTGAATTCTATTAGATTAGATTCAAGTATACAAGTATAAAACATTGATTTTTTTTGTGTGTCATTAACAAGTAGTGTCTGCTTAAAGTTTGAATGTAGCCTACACTTTATGCACTTGTTAGACCTGTTTCACCATCTAATATGTTTAAACTAAAATCTAACAATGGAAGGAGGGATAAAAAACCAAATTGGTGTCTAGATACATAGCTGTACAATTGTAGTCACTGAATTTGTGCACAACATTTGCATAAGATGAAATGAAGGACATATGTTTTTCTGATCATGGGGTGTTCTTTTATTCTTTTAGCACCCAGGTTGATACAGATATGAGTACATGTCTGCTTTTAGTTTGAGGAATTATCAAAATGAGTTCAGATTCTTCTGAACATCCTGTTTAGTCGGTACCTTATATTCTGTAACTCTCTCTGTTCTCTGTCCCAAGGTGCCACGGGCAGCCCTAGCCAGCCGAATGTAGGCAAACGCAAGAAGCTGGCAGTGGAAAGCGTTTTCAACCGCTTTGATGATGATGAAGTGGATGAGGTGCCTCGAAAGAGGAAGCTAGTGCCTTTGGATTATGAGGATGAAGAGAAGGGCAGTCTTGGAGCAGACAGTGCTGGAGCAGGAGGAGGCAAAGGGGCCAACACAGAGGAGAAGCGCAAGCACATTAAGAGTCTGATCGAGAAAATCCCCACTGCCAAGCCTGAGCTCTTCAACTACCCCCTTGACTGGTCTGTCGTGGACACGGTAAGCACATGCTTTGGTTCTGTGATTGAGAGATTTAGGGATCTGGAGAACTATGGATAAATAAACTAACAGCAAACTAACAAAAGCAACAGCATAGTAGAACGCTTCAGTTCCCCTCAAGAGCCTGTAACAAGATTCCACGAGTTGTATGAACGAGAATGAGAGGCTACAAATAGGGAGTTTAGCTTTTCCCCGTGTTAAGAACTTCGTAGCTATTACGGTCACCAGTGACATGCTATCATTTGATAATCATTTTCTTCACTCCTCTTCTACAGACTCTTATGGAGAAGCGCATCCGGCCATGGATCAATAAGAAGATTGTAGAGTATATTGGTGAGGAGGAAGCGACGCTAGTTGACTTTGTTTGCTCGAAGGTAAATATCTGCATCTGTCTTCTTTCAGTGCAGGCTCTGATCTTTCTTGGCTTTGGACGGAGCTGGTTTTTGTTGATTTAAAATGAGCTCCAAGAACATTTTCAGTAGTGAATTCACAGTTTATTCATCCTTTATTTGTTTGAATAAACAGTTTCTGCTGAGTGTCTGTGGTCTTGAAAAGGCTATTCAGTTTTCCTTTTTTGGTTGTATCTTTGATGATGAATTTGTTCTTTAACAGGTGATGGCTCACAGTACGCCGCAAGGCATCTTAGACGATGTTGCTATGGTAAGTATTAACTTGCACAGCATGTATAATCTGGTGGGTAGCGTAGCCCTAAACTCTTACCCAAAGGGTCTGTATCATGGAATAATTTAAATTTCTGTTTCTAATTCATCCACTGCGCTATGTACCTTGATTGGCATGCCTTCTGTGGAGCAGTTAAGTCCTATCCTCAGTGTGTCTTTGACTGTCAGTTTGATGGAGTATACAAATATTGTTAGTTTCAAAGCATATAGTTCACTCCCCAGTCCATACAGCCTATATATGGAAACTGCTCAGAAACAACCTGTTTTGAAGTCATTGCTTTTATGTCATGAGAACTAGCATTTGCATATAACTACGTACCTATTCAGCCAACAGTTGTTCAGCCCTGCCCATTCACACTGAAGGTATTAGGAGTGTTTCAGCCCAGACAGGCAATCAGAACAGAGCTCAGTTACATGTATCAGACTTAAAGACAGTAACAAAAACAGCTGTTTAAATTTAAGAAATGAAGAGAGGTGGAAATGGTCTTGAAAAAATGAATTGTCTGTTTTTGGTATATAAAACCACTCAAACAGAAGTGGAATAAGAATAAAATATAGGTTGTGCAGGATGAACCTTTTATGTACAAATATTGTAACAGTAAAGCAGGTCAGGAGCTGATCCAACACAACAGACTTAAATTAACCCCACAAAAAGGAATTAGGATGTAAATAGCTAAAATGCATGAGAGGAAACTGTACTTTCTTCACAGTTGAGTCCAAGTATTACTCAGAAATACTCAGAAGTATAGGACAATGCTACACAGACACTGAACTGAGTAAATGAAATGAGTTAACTGTATCTTCTCTACAGGTGTTGGATGAAGAAGCAGAGGTTTTCATCGTGAAGATGTGGAGGTTATTGATTTACGAAACTGAAGCCAAGAAGATCGGACTTGGCAAATGAACAAGCACTGAATGAGGATCAAATCTGCTCTTGACTTCCCTATTTCATCAGATCCATTCATGAAGAGAAAGAAACAGACAATTTGGGGAAACTCAATTTCAAAACGTTTAACCCAGCAAAATACTTTTGACAGTTTTTTTTTTTTTTAAATCGTTTAGGTTTTGTTTTCTCTCCATCCTCCTGTGACTGCAGTGACTGTGTTAAGTTAGTGAGCACTGGATCTAAAACGTTGTCCTGGCTACTCTCTTTATTCACCACTGAAGAAGACATTGGTGAGGTCATTTTTCCTCAGGGCTCATCTGTTAAGTGGATTTCTTTCGGCATAGCCTCATCATGCCTGCTTTAGAGTAGAATGGATGTCTCTATGAAAACAGTATCTTATTGTAGACTGTCACACTGTAACATTTGCCAATCAAGTCTGGGTCACAATTTTATTTTAGTCTTTCAGTTGCCGAGTTGAGTTGTACCAAAGAGTTTATCCCCGCCGCAAAGCGCCCCATGCGGACACGTCGTTCCACTTAAAATGGAAAAATGCAGAACGGATTCGACCCGACACTGTTCCTGGAAGTCTCTGGCTAAATTGATCTTAATTTGTGCGAACATGAAAACGGTGGTCTCTGTTTTTGTATTTACTAGTGGATGTGTTTTCAATAAAGGTGATCTTTTTTTTTATAAAATTAATTGGCATTTTGTCATTTTTGGAGTGAAGTAGGTGGGAGGTTGGTTGATCTGAATATCTTAAATGTGGCTTCAGAACCTTCAGATACCCCGCTTACAGAGACTTACAGAGCTTCCAAAAGCAAATTAAAATAAAATTAAACAAGTGTACAAACTCGGGTCTTTTAGAGCTGGTTTCTGACTACTAAATTGTAGATCAGTGGTGACTGACCATGGCAAAGCTGATTTAGTCTAATCTAGGCACTGGAAACCATCATAAAGTAATTCAATTTTTGCTTAAACAAAAAATGAAAGGCTGCTGTAAATCATCTCAAATTATCAAGCTATTTAGTGCATTTATATGCAAGTACACGTCACCAGTTTGCGTAGAAATTTTAATTCGTATTTTTTTTTTTTTTCCTTTTACAGATACCACTTTTGTTAGGATACAAAAACAGTTCATAATCTGAATAGCTCTGTATCCCCTCCAAGAGGGTCTAACTGCTGCTTGTGGAGCTGAACTTTTCCCTACGAAGGCTTCACTAGTCTTCGGCCTTGGCCTCCATCTCCTCAGCATCGTCGTCTCCGTCCACCTCAGCGTTCTCTCTTTCCAAACGCTCCAGCTGCCTCTGTAGCTCCGTCTCGTCTGTGTCCGTCACCACTTTGGGCTGTGATGGCAAAATAATGCATCCATAAGTAATTAAAGCGATTAGGTTTTGCGCATCAAACTGTACAAACCGAAAGCCTAAATCATCACAGATGCCTAAAACCATGAGGAGCTGTAATGTCCAATAGACTTTGGTTACTGAGCCTGAATGACTTTTGTATAATTTGCAAATATGGACAAAATTCAGCCTTCTAGATGGCTGGCACTACTGTATGCACCATCAGAAATGACATATTAGTAGTAAGATTTAAATAATGTTAAATACAATATGCAGAATGAGAGTTAAAACTTGAGACTGGCCTCCATCTGGATGTTGAAGACTCCTCGCTTCTCTTCGATTTTCTCTTTGATGACCGCCATGGCCTGGTTGAGCATAGACAGGCCCTCAGTCCGCTCCAGAGTGGTTGTGGTCATCACATACCGTGGAGGAGCAATCAGATTTATCTAACAAAAAAAGTTATAAGGGCACAGAATGTAGCACTGTTGTAAACATACTGGTGCCTAGAGTGAGATTTTTTTTGTCAGGGTTAAATACTAAGAAAACCCCTTCTGATGATGCACCTGCTTTGGGGCTTATACCTGAGGGCAGGCTGTACAGAAATGTCTCCAGGATGCAATGCTGTGCTACAGAATATTACATAATTTGTCAAATAACATTCGCTAGTTTTAGGCCAGAATGTCCCTTTAAGGAGTTCAGAACTTACATTACATAAAACCACTCGATCACTGCGGTCCACACCATTACAATTATCATACCGTATAATTGATGACTATGGAACTGTTGGATAACGTTTGATTTTTTTCAGTTGCTTATTTATTATACAAAGGACTAACTGTACAAAAATATCACAAAAATTGATGCAAAAATGTAAAAAAAATTAAATATACACATATTGAAACATGCGAGAACATTCAAATTCAAGAAATATCTCTCTTAATTATCATGTGTAAATGGATAAAAAAAAAGGGTTAAGCTTTCTACCTCCAAATGTTTTCCAAGCTTGTTTGCATACAGAAATCATTTAATTTCCTTTTCTAATTCATCCACTGCACTATTTACCTTAATTGGCATGGCATCTGTGGAGCACTTAAGTCCTGCCCTCAGGGCATCTTTGACAGCATCTATTCCCTCATATCCGTAACACGCCACTTCAATATCTGTTGAGAGCAAAATGTAGGAACAGGTTTACATTTAGAGAAAATTACATTCAGGAAAAAAAGTACCAGAGACTGAAAACAAGGACATCAACTGCTGTGTAGTGCTTTAGTACCTGCTCTGATTTTTACGGCCTGTGGCGTGAGCCGCCGGTTGATGTTGTCGATGAGCACAGTCCTCTCTTCTTCTGTCAGATCCAGTCCATCCAGAATAGAGGGATCACTGACAGAGGACAGAATAAAAATGTGCTTTATTCTTAAAGGTTCCAAAACAAAATGTCTAAAAACAGTTATTTAAAGCAGTACAAATTAAACCAAAAGGTTTTTGTTATTGCACTACACAGGGCTCCAACGTTTGGTTGTCAAAATGGAAAAAGTCAAAACAAAATGGTTAAATTAGTTAATTAGATCAATTTTAGGAATAATCTTTATTATCTACAGCCATAGTTGCAGCTATAAAGGACTGTGGTTATAAATGTTTCAAAACCAATGTTCCTATGATATAAAACTGGAGGAAAGCCTTGTTCTTACGACACTGCTTGTTTAAAGACATCGTAGGCGCCGTATCCCGGCCTCTTAAATTTCTCATCGAAGACCCAGGCAGTGCGCTGGTAGAGGCTTTCCAGCTGCTCGTCCTTGGTGTACTCCAGCACTTCGGCCACATGCCTCAGAATACTGTAGACCTGCCACACATCAGCCTCTTTTAGTCTTCAAACACATACAGAAAAGGTGAGTGCTGAAGTAAAGTAACATAATTCAAGTTATTAAAGACTCCACAGTGATTTGTATAGCTGTCAGAACAAAACCTTTCATTTCCATTTTGTAGTTTTTGATTTTTGGACACAATTTGAAGCTGCCCTTAATACACACAGAAACACACACATTTTCTAAGCCACTTATTCGTCTGGGTCACGGGGGCTGCCCTTAATAATGTGTGAAAATTTCATGATGAATGGACCAACAGTAGAGGTCCAAAATTCAAAACATTTTACACTGACTTCATTTAAACCTTAAGAAAGTTATTTCCTTCTCCTGAAGTTACAATTTTTGAGATGTAATGTTTTTTGCCTGAAAAACACAATATACAATTATTCTTATTATTTTTAAGTGCCATCAAATCATTTACGACTCCCGGCGACTATATGGATAATGTTTCTCCAGTTTAGGTCTTCAGGTTTCTTAATGGCTGGTTAATGATTCCTCTGTTTGTGTCCATCCATGTTGGTTGTCTTCTTTTACCATCAACTCTTTCAAGCATGATGGTCTTTTACAATTAATTGGTTCTTCTCAGGATGTGTCCAAAATAAGAGCTTCAGTTTGGTTCTCTGGGCTGCGAGTGAGAGACGAGGCTTGATTTGTTCGAGGATCCGTTCATTTGTTTTCTTTGACGTCCAAGGTTCTCGTAGAAATCTTCACCAATACTAGTATACTAATATCCCCATCATACTAATTAGTATACTAACATCCCCACTGAATGTCCCACACACCACAGAATGTGAATGTACATTCTGTCCAGTGTTTTGCTACTAGCCCCCAAATTTCCCCTCAGGGTTCACTAAAGTACATTGATCTATCTATGCTACATGTCCAGCATTTCTTCTGAAATCATCTAATACCTTTGGGATGATTTGGAGAAGCATTTGTGATCCAAGGCTGTTACTGCACCAAAGTGGGCACAACAGCCCTGGATCACAAACGCCTCTCTAACTCATCCCCAAGGTATTGGATGGAGCTCCATCACTCCAGAAAACACAGTTCCACTGCTCCACCGCCCAATGCTGGGGGGCTTTATAGCCCTCTCGCCCATGCTTGGCATTGAGCATAGTGACCACATCTATGACTGCTCCATTCTTTTGGAAATAATTTTCGATGGCAGTGTTCAGCATGTGTACAAGTAGCTAAAACAACTCTGTCTGGATACTTTTGGACATTTTGTGTATGTCTCTATTTATCTTTCAAAAAGTGAGCTACTTACAGTCTTAGATTTGGTAAACTTATCTTCACATTTGATGGCCTCCTCTGGAGATACTCTTCTCTTTGATAAGTCGATATATCCTGGAGAAAGAGAGTGAGAAACCAATCAAAATCAGAACGCCAAAAAGACCCTACAATAAAAGCCCAAGCCTAGTTTTGAAAACAGTGCATTAAGCGCAGGCCCACCCTTCTCTTTATCCACTCGGATCACCACAACGCATTCGTTGCGGCCGATACGGATCAGTTTGTTGATGGAGCGAATACGTCGGCGCGAGAGTTCACTCAGCAGGATCATGCCTTCGATGTTGTTGTACTCCAGCAAGCTGACGTAGGCGCCCATCTCAGCAATGGAGCGCACGTTCACCATCACCACGTCCTCCACCTCCGGGAACCGATGCTGGTAAAACCTACAGCTGAGTCCCGGCATCTCTGCCAAGAGAAAGACATGATTTATACTAATAACAAACTGATCATCTTCTCTGATTGTTCCCTGTTTACAACCTCAATAACTGCATTAAATATGGATCCATATGTTCCCCAGTCTCATAACTAGAAACTACTAATCTACTAAAAACAATAATATTTATTTGTAAAGCACCATTTATAAATATAAGCAGTTCCAGAAAAATGTAGAAAACAGAAGCATAAATAATAGTCGGCAAACAATTCCAAATCTTTGGATTTGGTTTAGCCTTTCTGATATTTTGCTGTAGAAATAATTATTTAATTGCCTAAATAACTGCTTTCAAACACTATTTATTTAAGTGGGAACTGTGGCCTAAAACTACACTCTTAACAATAAGGGTTCTATATAACAATAGTGGAACCCTTTTTAGTGCTACACAGAACCATCTACAGGACATTCTCCATCAATCTGAAGAACCTTTTTACGATGCAAAGAACCTTTTAATCATGCAAAGGGTTCACTGAGTGTTCATGGTTCTATATAGAACCATTTTCTTTACTAAAGAACCATCTTTTTAAAAAGAGAAGCATTTAAAATATTGTCATGTTACGTAGCATTCTGTAGCAAAGCACTGCATCCCTCAGCCTCAGACAGATTTCATGATTTTGTATCCTTTCCCATCAATGTTCTCTCACTACAATACCCAGCATGCATTATGCAAACGAATCTCCCAAAAGCCATAAGGAAATCCACTAATGTGCTGCTGATGTAGAGGCCCCCAAAGTCCACCACACAGCAGTTGTAGCTTTATAAACAGTCCCTCTCACCTTCAAGTTACATCATCAGAAGGGGATTTTCCTAGTTTTGACCAGGAAAATCTCACTCTAGTGAATATTGTGGCACTCACTACATGTGAGTAGCATGTTTACAACAGATGTTGTGATGGTTAATTTTTTTATTTTGGCCAGAGCGTCCCTTTAAAATGAATAGATGAATACAGCTCTATATTACAGTTAACTAACTATACAACGGGATATGATTACACAGATCTCTGTCTGAAAAAAAGATGCTTCTTCAAACGTTCTTTAGTAAAAGCAATGAATTTATACAGTTCTATACAGGACTATTTGCATGCTTAAATGGCTCTTTGCTTTATGAAATACTTCTTCAGACTGATGGAGAATGTGTTGTATATAGAACTTTTTTTTAAAAAAAAACATACATACCACACGTTCTCCATCAACTGGAATTAGAAGATCCATTTAAGCATTTAAAAATGGCTCTATATAGGACTTGGCTCTATACAGTGGTTTTAGAAAAACTGTCTTTACTAAAGAACCCTTGAAGAACCATGTTTTTAAGTGTGTAGAACCCATGGTTCTAAATAGAACGATTCTCTTTACCAAAGAACGCTTGAAGAATCATCTTAAAGAGCGTAGGTCTGACTGCCTGACAAAAACGTTTAAGTATTATATCTACATAATCTAACCCTAATAAAACGCTGATGGAGCTGCTGTTAGATTAGGATTAAATACAGCATGAGTTTCAGTAAGTAATCTAGTTAGAAATTGCTGGTTGGCTAAAATTAATAAATCCAAGATGTATTTTACGGTTTTAGACAGTAGTTAATGTAAAAGACTCATGTTATCACACCAGGCTGCTCACTGAGCACATGCGGTTTGGTAGAGAACTAATGTAGACTTTATCTTTTTAAAACAGATATCATACCGAAACGGTGAAGTGTGTGGAGCAAAGCGGGATGTTACCTGAACAGTAATGTCACTGAAACTGTACAGTTTAATAAGGAATCCTTTTTTAGGCGGTAATTGTGAATTTTGATGTGAAGAGGCTCCGCTGAATCAAGAGTTCGCCATAGATCCGCAGCAGGGAGAGCTACATCATGGCGCCGCACGGATCGAAGTCAAAATAAAAGTCTACAGTAAAAGTCCTTTTAAAGCAGAACAAGTCAATACACACTCACACAAAACTATTTATAAATGCAAAAAGAAATTTCTATCGTTTTCGACAGAAGTGTTTTGACAGGATGTAAGTAAATGTCTGTTCCCTAACAAAGTAAAAAAAATCATTTTAAAATGCTATACATTTTTATCCTTGTAATGTCCTGCTTAAAGCTGTACATTTACCCCGATTGTTTATATGAAATTAAAATAAAAACTGTCAACACGCACTCCATACAAACAGTAGAGAGCGACGAGTAAATGGTATTACCCAGATATTTATTTGAAAAAAGAAATACGTTTTATTTTCTTAATCGGAAACAGCAATGGACTCAGGACGAACTGTGAGTTGCTAAGCGTTTGTCAATGTAAAAGTCACCACTGAAAGTAAAAATATCTTTATTGTAACCTTTATTCCATCGGGATTTTAATACTATTAATACTATATACTATTAATGAGATCATACGTTTTAAAGATTTATAAAACATTTGAAAGATTTATTTTTGTTTTAAAACGCAGTCGTGCTTTTCCGAAATCACATGACGCTATGTGACACTTTTACACTTCAAAATAAAAGTTTCAATAAACGTTAAACAATTGTTTAATATTATATAATTAGTACTGATTGTTCAGTATTGCAGAGCGAGACAAACACTGAATTTAACGCAATCAATAAACATTAGAGAAAAAAGTGTCAAATTCCGTTGAATTTTATTTTTCCGAAGGGCCACCAGCGAGTCACATGACCCGCTGTGAGCTGTAATGTGATTTTCACTATGAGGGTCAGAAAACAGTAAAACCGGCCGCAGCGTTTCTGCAGTAAAATCTGCATAACAACAAAATACAAGGGACATTTCGAGCTTCTAAACTCGCTTTATAGATCTACATATACTTTCGAGCAGCGCTGCTTCGAGTTTAATTTACACAGGACACGATGTCGGGCAAAGATCGGATCGACATTTTCCCGTCGAGGATGTGAGTAGCTAAAGGCACATACGCGTAGTTGCTTGAATTTTCCTGTTCCACCTTAAATAGCGCGGCAGCTACATTCTGGTGGTTCAGGCGTTAGAATGTAACTGCTACACCGTTTAAGGTGGAACGGGAGAATTCAAACACGAAGCTGGTGAACAAGAAGTTGACAACAGCTTGTTCGTCATATACATGCTATTTGAACGATAACACGAAGAAATACAGAACATTTTGACTGTTTTGCCGCATTTTAGGCGTATGACAGTCGTAACTGAAATCATAAATGATTTTCAGGTTGAGTTTGCATTGAGTAACTAGATCTGATTGTTTAGTGTCTTCACTGTGATGGTTACAAACATAGCTGTACACCCCAAATGGTCTTTTCAGGGTTATATATTAGCTGCCAATAATCTGTAAGATGTAATATTCACAGAATGTGGATGAAAATTATGAATTTGAAGGTTTGTTTAATGTGCACTGGTATCCTGAAAGCCATTAGCAAGGTTATTAGACAATGTGAGCTTGAGTTTTAAAGTTTTTGTTTTGAAAAGCAAATGAAAAGAGCCTTGAGAAAGCAGCTTTATATAAAGGCGGCTATATTAAAATGTAATATGTAATATGTAGTATTAAGATGTGTGGTTATTCAAGATAGTTGGCTATTAACTCACTCATGCAAAAAACAGAAGTCTCTTTTATTCATTGTCATGTGATGCGAGGCTTCTGCCAGACAGGAAAATCCAAAGAGAAATGCATGAGGTTTTAAAAATGATTGTTGTAATGGAGTTGATGAAAAAGCACTGCAACGTTGAAGGAGAGCTCTACCGATTTTTCAACATCTCTGCATAATTCAGTGATTGAGATGTAACCAGAGTAATTCAGAGTGGTTTGGTGCGAAATGGTTCAGATTTCTTTACAGTGGTGGTGATAGGAATCAGGGGTCACCATGACTACAACACAAATATAGACATTTTATTTACTATCCAAAACCACCAGTGAACCTATATGTGTCTTCTGAGTTTTATATGTGATGTTGATGATGGTGAAATAATGGAAAATCTGAAATAATCAGTTTTCTTTGAGGATTTTGCCTCACAACACATGTACCTCTTCACTATGAATACATTTTAAAGATATGTTTTAAGCCAAAACCTTAAGCAAAAACAATGTCTCAGACATTAGGCAGTGTATTTATAACAATTTAATGTAATAACTTTGTGTGAGGGAGCTTTTAGAGGCACTGAACTCTTGAGATATCTGGTTAGGTCTGGTAGGATTGCCATGCTTTCTGTGCACAAAATAAATGAATAAACCACCAACATTTTGGTTGTGAAGGTGAAATTTCTGTGTGGTCAGTGAGTTAGCTTAATAAATAAAGGGAAATGTTCGGTATCCTTAGTTGACTGGCATAGTAAGAAAACTAAACAGCTGTGGTCATGTGGAGCACCTTTGATCAATCATTAACTAATATAAGGATTTATGAATCAGTACACACTTTTACATCTACATTATTGTTCTGGGTTATTTCTGCATCCCTGAAATGCTCTTGTTGATGGTTTTAGGGCGCAGACCATTATGAAGGCTCGTCTGAAAGGAGCTCAGACTGGACGTAATCTGCTGAAGAAGAAAGCTGACGCCCTTTCCATGCGCTTCCGGCAGATTCTTAGGAAGATTATTGAGGTAGGAAGAAAGCACACTACCAGGTCATATGGTCATAGCGTCGTTACATATTTATCTGTTTTTATCATAATATTGTGCCTATTAGTAATTAGTAAGGAATTGTAATAATCACACAGTTTACAGTTGTATGCTTACTTCACAATGAAACCAGTTGGTTTTCCACTGGAGCTGTGAGGCTAATGTAGCTCAGGAGTAGTGGAAGCTTATACCCCGCAAGCTAGCATGGTGCTAACTGCATGTCTAAATCATCAATCTGTGTGGAATTAAGGAATCTCTAATAGACTTGATTATGTTGTTTCTATAAACATGGACTGAAATGCAGGCAAAAGTATTTTTTAATGGCTGCACTTCAGGCGATACAACAACGTATTCAAGTCTTTTAGAGGTTCCTTAATTCCATACAGATCAAGGATCTAGACATGTGGTTAGCCGCATGCAAATTGGTGGGGTATAAGCTTCAACTACTTCTAAGCTACATCAAGCTCTCTGGATTTTCTGCAACAAATCAACAAGACTGTGGCTCCTTTCCATGAAGGTCTTCATAAAGTTTATATATACTTCTGTCCTTTTTTTTTGGCTTATGCTTGTGTCAGCATCATCTCAGCACCAACTCTTTTGTCTGTAAAATATAACGTGTCATACTGCACAGTATTTATTAGAGAAGGGAATTTATTTACCTTGTTTTACACAACACCTTTACCTCTGCTGCACAGACCAAGACGCTGATGGGAGAAGTGATGAGGGAAGCTGCCTTTTCTTTAGCTGAAGCCAAATTTGCTGCTGGTGACTTTAGGTAGGAATGGCCTGTGCTAATGTTAAAGCTAACACTAATGCTAATGTGTGCATGATGGTGAGTTCGGCTCTCCAGCTCACAGATCATGTGTTGTTTTTTTCAGCACTACGGTTATCCAGAATGTGAACAAGGCCCAGGTCAAAGTCAGGGCAAAGAAGGACAACGTAGCAGGTCTGGCTGAACTTTTTTTTTAAATTGCACTTTTAAATTATTACTTTTTTTTTAATTAATAATGAAGCTGCACTAACATGCTAAAATATGGTGAGTGTGCACTGCTCTGAGTCGCTCTTTAAAGCCTGAAACAATCATGTAAAGTCAGAGGTGTTGGGTTGTCTTTCGGACCATGTTGTATGTCTTTACGTACTGAGGTCACACTTACAGGCTCAAAAAGGTCTCGCTCGATGTTTAGGTCACAAATGATCTCAAAATCAACGTTATACTGATGAAGATGTGCTGACACGAGTAGATAATTCACTCACATCCTAAGAAGATGCGTCCTTCACCAAGTTTTCACTGAGTTCTCTTTATAAAGCTTTTATAAACTTAATTTGTGCTTTGTTTCATGTAGTTATATCAACATATTATTGGCTTGTGCCGAACTAATATTCCAATATTTATTTATTTGTTTGTTTATTTACTTTTTGCCTTATTTGGCCCCAGGTGTGACTCTGCCTGTGTTTGAGCACTACCAGGAAGGAGGAGACAGTAAGTTTGGCTGCAAAAAATGATTTCATCACAAAAACTCCACTCTACTGTATATCATAGACCCCTGTCAGACGTGCACTCAAGGGGGTTTCAGTGGAAGCTGTAATACAGCTGTAATGTACGGAAGCTGAAAAATAAAGGTTACATTTTGAATAATTTTCCATAGGTTATGAACTGACCGGTCTGGCCCGAGGTGGAGAGCAGCTGTCCAGACTGAAGAGGAACTATGCCAAAGCTGTGGAGCTGCTGGTGGAGTTGGCCTCCCTGCAGGTAGGGGGTGCTCAGAAATGAATACATTTTAAATAAATAAATTCAGAAATTCTCTCTCATATATATATATATATGATGTCACAATAAACCACACCTTTACATATATCCATCCTATACAGCCAACAGCAGGTTGGCCCTGCACATTCACGCTGAAGTTATAAGCGGTGTTTCAGCCTCGGCTGCTCTTTGCATGAGGTACAATACAGGGCAGCCAATCACAACAGAGCTCATTTACATTTCTCAGTCCTAAGGGCACATTAACAAAAACAGCCTTTTTAATTCCAAGGCATAAGGATGGCCTGGTCATGTAAAAATAAATGAAGACTGTTTTGATAAATAAACCCACACAAATATTATAAGCGAAAGATAAAATACAAGAAAAATGAATGAAATGGGCTCTTTAAGGGAAAAAGAATTATGTTTTACAGTAAGTGTTAGTTGTTCATTCTGGGACAGGTCAAACAGTACCTTTAGTTTTTAATTTTTTCCTTGCCTGTTTATTGTTCATTATTGTGTTTGTATTACCCATTCTGTTAACATCTACATATTAAAGCACTACATATTATTTGTCTTATGGGGAAATTACTCAGAAGAAAAGCTTATAGACTGGAAGATATGAACATGAGAGCAGAAAGCCAAATAGCTGAAATCAGGACATAAGAGCACAAAATTGTTGCTACTTTCTAACCAGTATGACTTTATCTACATCTCTTTTATTTGCAGACGTCCTTTGTCACTTTGGACGAGGCCATCAAGATCACCAATCGTCGTGTGAATGCCATCGAGCATGGTGAGTAGATTATGTTAAATTACTTTTTTAAAATATAATTTTTCTGTCAATAAAGCAAATTTTAGGTATTTTCAGTTAAATGGATGTTTCACTTGTATCTTTTTTCTTCTTAATCAGAAGCTTTTTGTTTTCTTCAGGGTTCAAAGTACTTTACACATGAAAAAAGAACAGAACTGCATATAATTATCATCTCTGAGTAATATGGAAAAATATATAGTGATAGGAGTTTTGGTGATTTTCCTTTGACTTTCCCTCTTTTGCTCAGTGATCATCCCAAGGATCGAGCGCACCCTTACTTACATTATCACTGAGCTGGATGAGAGAGAAAGAGAAGAGTTTTACAGGTGGGTCACCATGGTCTTTGGGCTCAGAGGCAGGACAAATGCAACAAAAAAATATTTGTTTGAATATATTATTTTTCTGAGTTTCAAGTGTTTCCCCTATTAAATCAGTTATCTTTAAGGTTGGGCCAACACGACATGATTTTTTTTGCCCGATTTTAACCCCAATTTGCCCACAAATTTTCCAGTGACTGACGATGGATAATCTGTTAGCGTGAGAGGAGAAACGAGTGAATCTTTAGCCTTTCGATCGAACTCTGAAGTGATCAGAGACCCTCCGATATCATGACACTTACGACTTAAAACGTTTGCGAGTCCTGTAGTGTGAGAAGGTCAGAGATTTACTTCACAACTGATTCAAACAACAGCCAATCAGAGAGCTAGAAGAGCAGAGAAAAAGGCAAAGAGATGCGCATGCACACCGCCTGAACAGCAGAGCATAGAGACAGAGGAGCTGCATGTATAACACAGGCGAATAAGAGCCGTTATCATGTTTATAATGTTGGATCCAGACGTCAGAGCCCTCTCTTTACAAGTTCAGCTCAGCTCCCAGTTTCTAGTGAAATATTTCTCCAGCTCTCACTGTATCAGCCACAAATGAATCCCCAGTTTAAGAAAAATAATAGCACAAACAGGTCAGATTCAGTAAGTTTAGCTCTGTTATATCTCTGAGGAGATCTGGAAGTTCTTATTCGTAGCCCAAACTCATTGTGTGTGTTATTCTCTCTCTCGTCATCTAGTGTGAGCGCCCAGTCGAGTAGTGTACACCCAGCCGTAGTAGCTGTTTTAGAGCAAGCACATTTTAATAGATTTAAAGGCCCTATAACTAACACTGCTAAAGTCTTAAAAGCATACTTCTCAATCCTCACCGTCCATATATGGAAGCGAAAGTTGCAAAAACAGCCCGTTTTGAATTCATCATGGTTGTGATGTTAAAGAGCACAGGCATATTTCGTTCTTCAATGAGCTGAATAGCAAAAACAGCCTGTTATAAAGAATGAGGTTGAAGAGTACAGATATAGAACAATCACTGTGAGTGCCCTGCATGGGAAATACAATATAAGGAAAGGTGTCTAATGTGGGCCTAGCTTAAATCTGTTCTACTCCACCAGGCTGAAGAAAATCCAGGAGAAGAAGAAGCAGCTTCGGGAGAGGACGGAGAAGGAGATTGCCCAGCGTCTGGCCAAGCTGGGACCCATGGCTGAGCCGGCCAACATGCTGAACGAGGAGGCCGATGAAGACCTGCTGTTTGAGTAAAGCTCCGCCCCGCAGCTTCCAACCCAAAACCCTGTTTATTCTGTGCCTCTGAGGCCGTAATCAACACGTTTTTGTGAAATTGAAAAAGATTTGTCATTGTTTTGTGTATATGTTGGTGCTTATGTTTTGTTTTCTTTTGCGCTTTGGGGAGAAGAAGAATGTTCACGTTACGACAAAAGCATGTTCACTAGAGCTCCGTTAAAAAAACAAAAAACAAAAAAAACAAACAAAAAAGAAAGGAAGTTGTTGGTATATGCTGCCAATGAATTTTTCTGTATATTAAGTATGCTGTGTCTGGTCTTGTCTGTGTGAGTGGCTTATTTTTGATGACTGAAAATCACACCTGTAGAATAGTAAAGGGATTTGTTCAGAAATGACCTCAAAAAATATCATTCCAAGTAACTGTACTTGCTCACATTCTGCTCTGATCTTCATCTGAGTGTTGAAAGAAAGCCAGTGTAGCCACCTGTGCAGTTTATTATGACTGGAAACCTTCAAATTCTTGTTTACTCTGAGTGTGGACGGAGGCTGTGGCTGACTGCTGAATTACACTCTTAAAAAAAGATGGTTCTTCAAGGGTACTTTAGTAAAGGGAATGGTTCTGTTTAGAACCATGAGCTCTATATACAACCATTTCATGCTTAAATGGTTCTCTGCATGGATATTGTGTTGTATATTGTTCTATATAGCACCAAAAAAGAGGTCTGCTATTGTTACAAGCTTGACAACAGTAGAAGAATCCTTTTTGGTGCTGTATAGAACCATATAGAACACATGCTCCATCAATCCGAAGAACCATTTAAGCATGAAATATAGAACTCGTGGTTCTAAACAGAACCATTCCCTTTACTAAAAAACCTTTTGAAGAACTGTCTTTTTAAGACTGTAGGATGAGTTTTCATCTTCACAATATCAGTGAATTCTTCTCTACACACTTAAAAAAGGTGGTTCCTGAATTGTTCTTTAGTAAATATATTAGTCTATATAGTACCATAAACACTCAAAGGGTTCTTTGCATGGTGAAAGGGTTCTTCAAACTGATGGAGAATGTGCTGTAGATGGTTCTATATAGCACCAAAAGGGTTCTTCTAACAAGCGTCACATTGTAAAAACATCAATCCTTTTCAAAAGGGTTCTGTTCAGAACCATCATATTCTGAATATTCACGATGCAAATAATCCATTAATCATGCAAAGAGTTCTTTGAGTGTTTTGTGTACTGAAACTTCTGCATTCTAACTATTCTTGTCTGTTGAATTAACTGCAATAAAGTGTATAGATGGTACTTTTCTGACTGAGCGTTTTACTGGCACACTGACCGTTACGGCTACAGTGGTGTATATTTGTTTTTAGTGCGAAAGTATTAAGGTGATAGCATACGTGCTAATAAAGTCATTGTTAGCTAATGTGAGCAAACTGTTCATAAAGTGGTCATTCTAAAAATAGCAGTCGACACATTGTCTTTTCAACTGAAGAGTATAGGAGGCCGTTTCCACCACAAAATAGACCATGTTTGTCCTAAAAATATTGTGTGGTACTCCAGAGAATTCGGTTCCGCTACTCCACAGCCCAGTGTCGGGGGGCTTTGTATTCCTCCAGGTGATGCTTTGCACCAGGCATGGTGACCTTAGCAGAGCCAGTTTATGGGGAGCCTGGCGGTTTCCTATCTCCCCCGTTATATCAAAAACAGGACCGCTAAACAGCAGAGGGCGCCCGCGAGCGAGTCCTCAATGAATTAGGGTGAATGGAGCTAAGCGGCTAAAAACGAAAGGTTAGTTTCTCATCACTTGCTTAAAACTTTATTTTAATTTTAGAAAGTAGAAGGATGTATTTCACTAAAAAAGCCAAAAAAACCTACCTGCATGTTTCCTTTTTTCTACAGACAACAGGTTTTGGGCAGCAGGACGCCATCATTACTGCTACTGAGTGCTGATTGGTTGGCGGACGGAGCCGCTCATTGGCTGTTCGCGCTCACTGACGTCATGGACTTCCTATAGCTCGAGTTTAAAAGCTCTTAAAATATAACAGCAATGTTCAAATGTTTTATGCTGTTCTGTGTTCAGGATATTAATGTATTCTTTTATCTTAAAAATGTTTAAGCATTTATAAACTATGATTTTGCTCAAATGCTCCATCTTAACCCATTCACTATGGACTCGCTCGGGAGCGCCCTCTAGCTTTTGCAAAACCCGGAAGACATTACAGAGCGGTGATTCTTCCCTCTACAAGTTCTCTGACATTAGGAACACTTGCTTAAGATCATCCTATTTTAAATAATTAAAATTTTAATTTCTTTTAGGGCAGTAAATAGGAAGGACAGAGCATACATGCTAATAAAGTCAGTGCTACTTAGCTTGCTAATGTTAGCAAACTCTTTATAAAGTGGCCATTCTAAAAATAGCATTGACACATTATCTTATAATTCAAATTTACACTGTGGTGCTCTTATTCTTGACGTAATAGTGCATGATGACTTTATCCTCGGCTGTAAATGTAAAGAATTTGCTACATTGTGTCTGATTGAGAAGTACAAAAGGCCATTTCCACCACGTAATGAACCATGATGTGAAAGTTTATCATAGTTCAGTAATACTATCTCGATTATTACTTGGTATTTTATCTCAATTATGAGACACCATGATTTCTATCATAATCATGATTAGTATCTCATAATTGTGACATCCCAGTAAAGAGAAAACTTCTTATAATTGACACAGTATCTCAAGACTCTCATAACTCATGAGTTAGGATTTTACAAAAGTAATAATTAAGAGGTATTACATGATACTATATGAGAATTATGTGAAACTTTCTAATTGTTATGATATAATAAGTCCTAATTATGAGAAACTTTCTTGTTATTGCAGCTCACTAAAATGCTTAATCTGAATTCATTTTTAAGTAGCCAAATGGGCTTCCATACAGATAAAATGTAATCTAAGATCAAAATGGTTTTGGAACAAAATGAAAAACATATATAAAGAAAAACATATAAGTCAGAGGTTCTATAACCAGCAGCCCATTTCATTTAAAATAAAGACAACAAGCACATGCACTCAGTTAATAATGTATTAATATATCTCATGAATTTTGTCTTTATATTGGTATTAATTACAAAACCACATTTGAAGACAGCGCTATACTGCAGCTATGCAGGAGCAACACGAATAAATCTGTGTCAGAAAAGTATCTTTCTGTCCCACAATTGTAAAAACATCCTATTTCAAGTTTCAGTCAGGATTTGCTATAAATAAACAGGTTATCACAATTGCACAAATAATAAACATTCCTGAGAAGTTACCAGCTAGAAAAGTGTCCACAAATAAATCTATCTAGCAATAGTACTTCTTTTTGTGTTGTTCTAATAAGAAAATCTGAACGTAGATGCTACTGAATCCCAAAGTCATAAACACATACAAATTTCAGATTTTGTGAATGCACAAAAAAAAACCTGACACATTTCATATCACATTTGAAAATATGTCGTCTGACTGAACCTCTCGTGCTCCTCAGCATAAGTCCACCCTGTTTCAGAAGACCGATCACCCAAAATGAAATGACAAAAAGATACCAATGTAGACATGAACAAGAAAACCTACTGTACCAGAGAAGGTCCATCTCCTGCTTGACCAGAGCAGCGTTCAATACTACTACTACTGAAAATTTCAATGAAAATGACCCTCTTTACACCAAACGCAGCCTGAAGTTTGCTTCTTCAGTTTTGCACTGACACTGCAGGCTAAACGTATTAGAAACTTACGGCACTGTGCTAATTTAATTTTATTTAATTTAGTTCTCATTTCGTCCTCACGGCATCTCTGCCTCTCCACTATGGTGTTGGTGTTTGTTGTAAGAGGCATGTGAAGGAAACGTGTGACTTGACACAATTTCCCATATGGAAAAGAAATGTATTCATCAAATACATCTGAAAAAGCATGAAAATGGCCACATTTTATATTGTTAAACACTGGGCCTCATTCACCAACCATTCTTCAGAAGAAATTTTCAAAAACCCACATATGCAGCTTTCATGAAGATGTGACATTCATAAGTGTTTTCTTATTTGGAATTTGTTCTTAGGTAAGAACAGAATCTACACACACACAAAGGTAAGAACGGTTCTGCGCTTTAAGAATACGTCTGACGTAGATTTTTCATAGGACCTTTCTCACGAAACACCTTAAAGAAAAACTTGTTTCAACATTCAAAAAATATCACTAATAATTTCTGTTTCCACAGCCTCCATCGACAAACTTAACAAACGGAAAAAAAATCCTACAGGTGGAGTTGTAGCTGTTTTTCTTTACTGCAAAGTATTCTGGTTAATTTCAGATTGTCATCAGCTTCTTTTCTGACTTCTGCAGGTTTTCCAAAATGTCTTTGTGCACTTTTGAGTTCATGATTCCGTCAATAAACACAAGCTCAGCAACACCACTGTAAGAAAAACAGCCCCAGATTTTGTTTTCATCTCTGTGCTTTACAGAACAGTCTGGCTTTTCTCCACACCATCACTTTCACGTTGAGCTAAAAGTGTTTTCATTTTTTTAGTCGTTTTATGATGCAACCAACAGAAAGTTCACTAATGGTTAAAGTGTCCAAATACTTTTGGGGCCAATTTATTTATAAAAATGAGAAGCTGTTTTTAGCTTCAGTGCAAAACTAAAGAAGCAAACTTTAGACACCAAACAAAAGGTGTTGTCTGACTGGCTGTTTTTGGGGTAAGAGGGGAAAATCATCTTAAAAATTCCTTTCAAATATCACCTGAAATCAGGAAGATGTCCAGCGTCCCAACACACTGCCAGATTCTAAATGGTGACACTATAAACCAAAAAGAATGCTGAAAGAAGACTGTCTGGCTGCAGTTCATGTCGTCCTGGTTCACACTGAGAAGGCTCATGTTCAGGTAAGCAGTCTCAAAGGGCTTCTCCACAGTGAGGTAAATGATGACTCTGGGTTTGGAGTATTGCTGCGGTGCTGGTGTGGACTCAGCAGAGCCAGGAGGACGCAACCCACTGAGGCTGCTTGTCCAGTTTATCGATGAGCCGCAGGAGTTCGAAGAAGGCTGTGTCCTCATCGCTGTTCACCACGACCGCATCAAACAGGTGGCCGTAGTTCTGCTCCATCTCCCGGGCCTTTTCTGTCACCTCCTTCAGCTCCTCAGGCTAAAACACAGTCGCACAGCCACAAAGAGAAAGTTAGCCCAAGACAAACAGCACCAAGTGGAAAATAAAAAAAAGAGAAAAGGTCCACTGAAAAAATAAAACTACACTGTGTGCTGTTGCACTGCTTGCGTCAAGTATAAAAGACCACATTAATATAGGAGGGTTTACATGCATCACTTTGTATCAGCTGTGTTTCAGGGATGTGCTGTATGTTGTTGGAAGATAAATCAGGGGACAGATTTCTTAGATGGGCAGACTAAATGTGGCTCACCTGTCGCCTCATATTTTCCTGTTTATTTAGCTGTTTTTTCTCTGCCACATGGATCCCCCAAAATACCAAAACTGTTTGCAGTCAGTACATTAATTCAGACTGTGAGCAGGCATAGCCATTACTTTTACAATGGGGTGGCCAAGTTAGACTATATAAATAAAAGCGATTTATAGTGGTCTTCTTTGTATATATTCAATATGTGTTGAATTTGCTCAACAAAGTTAGTGCTGAAAGTAAACTGAAAGACAAAAGTGAGCTGATGTATTTTATTCATTCATTAAGAAATTATGTAAAAAGTAAGTAAAAGTAAAAGTATTACCATTACTATTTTAAGGAAAAGAAGTTATGCTGCCAAAACCAAAATACTGGTGGGACTCTGAAAATAAACTTATGATGTTTATGCTGTCAGTTAGAGAAAAATAGATGCTTAAATACAAATCTAGGGAAAAGTCTTTGTTTTACAATCAGCTTCTGCCTTTGGTATTCTTAACTAACTAGAGCTGCAGCACTGCTCTGCCTCAGAACTTTACACTACGCTGCAGCATATCTGTAAATCTGAAAATTTGCCCAGTTTCCCAAGAGTTTGGTGTAAAGAGTGAACTGTTACTCATTTCTCAAACTGAAGACACAAGACGAGATGTGTAAGATTTCAGTTAATGTGTGGAAGGATATCCACATTCCCAAACATTTTGTTGCCACTGAAGCTAACATTAGGGCCTCTACAGCAAGTTCTCAGCCAGCCTACGCTGGAGTAGTTAAAAGAAAAAACAACATTCCCCTTATGACAATTTTTTATCAGTAACTCCATAAGAGCTAATATCTAAAATCTAAATGCACAAAGGGTATACAAATCACCAATGCTTTTAAGCCATCGGCCAAGACTAAAATTATAAGATTTTTGCTCCAAACAAGCAACATGTTTTGATTTTTAGGATTCTGGCTGATAAACCATGTTGCAGTTTTATGGTTTAAATGACATGAGGCAGGTAAATGCACTTGTACGGTATGAGAATGCTTCTGCCACACCTGCACCAAAATATCACAGCATAATCATCCATGACTCGTTGTGCTGAACAACCAGTCGCCTCTTAGATTCAGTGTAGCACTTTACTTGGTATATACTATTCAAACATTTTTCATTAAGAACTTAAAATGACAGTTTGGGCCAGTAAAGAGCCATGTAATGTTACTTATACTGCAACAGAGCTAATACAAGGAACTGGAAAAGCGACAGAGTGTGTTCACATGTTTCACACAGTGTCACCAGACAATTTGGCTGTAAACAAATCTGAATCGGAATCAGCCATAGAAATGAACTGATCAGTGCACCTTTATTAAATGTACATTACATTATGTATTTTTAATGTGTACAACGTTTGTCCAATTGCTGATTCGTCCATGATGTAGCAGGAAATACCTTGAGGTTTTTTCCTTCTTTGAACAGCAGTGTGCGCAGTTGCTCTTGTGGAGGAGGAGCGATGAAGATGACATATGGTTTGAGATTAGTGGAGCGAAGCACACGCAGAGACTGGAAAAACAGCAAGGGGAGAAAGTCACGCACAGATTTGAAGAAAGAGAGAGTGGAATAATAGAATAAACTGTTTCACAAGCAGTATAACTTAACAATGTGCAGGACAGGAAGCCAAAGCCATGTGGTGTGCTGTGTATTTTTGCTGCTTTAATATACACTCTCTGGTCACTTTAACAGAAACTCCTCTCTTGTAGCTCCACCTTGTTGGTGTACAGTTAGAGACTGTAACTCATCTTTTGATGCAAAGTTTATGTTAGTCACCCTCTAGTTCTCAATCAGTGATCAGTTTCTGACCAAAGAGCTGCACTTGGCTGGAAATATTTGGGTGGAACTCCACTCAACCTAGCAGTGACAATGACAAGGTAGGTGTTGATGTTAAAGTGGACAGGCTCAATAATAAATTGTATACCATTTTCCCTTACTGTAAATTCAGCTGAACAGCTAAGAGATGTTTTGTGTCTGAAATTTGCTTCTTCAGTTTTGCCTGGAGCTACAAGGCTAATGTAGTTAACATAATAAAAGCTCATTCAGGCGTACATCACAAACTGTATGCCTTTAAAGCATCATACATTTAGCCACAAGCCATGTGGAGTTGTTCTGTAAATTCTAATAAACTTGATTATGTGGTTTCTGTCACACTGTTATCTATACATATGGACAAAACTACAGACAACATTCAGGCTTTAAAGTTGCTGCTACTACCATTTTTAACTACAGTACTGTGAAAAAGTATCCCCCCCTTCTACATTTCTTCTATTTCTGAATATCTGCCACACTTTAATGTTTCAAATCATCAAACTACTTTTAATATTAGTCAAAGATAAACCATGTAAACACAAAATACTGCTTTTAAATGATAATTTCATTGACTGAAGGAAAAATTCTGTTCAGCCTAACCTGGCTGTATGTGAAAAAGAAACTGCCCCCTTAGCTACTAAATCAACCAAATTCATTTTACTACTGGGTTCAATTTCACCAGCCACACCCAAGCATGATTACTGCCAGACCCTCTGAATCTAAACATCACTTAAATAGAACCTGTCAGGCAATGTGAAGTAGACTAGGAGGTTTAAAAAAGCAATGCATGACGCCACATTCTAAAGAGATACAAATACAGATGTGAAACAAAGTCAGCGAAATCTACCAGTCTGGAAATGGTTACAAAGCCAATGCTAAGGCTCTGGGACTCCAGAGAACAGTGAGAGCCATTTAGCATAAATGAATAAAACCTGGAACAGTGGTAAACCTTCCCAGGAGTGGCCGGCCTTTTAAAATCTCACCAAGAGCGCGTCGATAACTCATCCAGGAGGTCACAAAAGAACCCAGACAAACATCTAAAGAACAGTAGACCTCACCTGCTTCAGTCAAGGTCAATGTAATGATTCCACAATAAGGATGATTGTCATGAAGGAGAATGTCTGCTCGTCAGTTTGTGACCTAAAGCTCAAATGCAGCTGGGTTATGCAGCAGGACAATGATCTGAAGCACACAAGCAAGTCCACCTCTGAATGGTTCAAAAGAAACAAAGTTAATCTTTTGAAGTGGCCGAGACAAAGTCCTCACTTGAATCTCATTGAGATGCTGTGGAAAGACCCTAAGTGGGCAGTTCACGCTTGAAAACCCTCCAATGTAGCCGAACTAAAACAATTCTGTAAACAAGAGTGGGCCAAAATTCTTCCGCAATGATGTAAATGGCTCACTGCAAGTTATCACAAATGTTTGATTGCAGTTGTTACTGCCGTTGCAGTTGTTGCTGCACAACCAGTTATTAGGTTTAGGGTGGGTGATATAGGTTTTGAATAATTCTTATCTTCAGTAAATGGAATGATCATTTAAAGGCTGCATATTGTGTTTACTTCTGTTGTCTTTATTTTATATATGAAACTAGTTGGACGATCTGAAACATTTAAATGTGACAAATTAGCATAAAAAGAAGAAAGTGGGTGAGGGCCAAATACTTTTTCACAGCACTTTATGCAATGTACTTTTATCCTCCGAACATGTCTCAGCTAATTGATTACATTTGGGGTAGATGGAGAATAGTGTAAAGTAAATTGGATTAAATTAGATTTTTTTTCACTTCACACTGTTACATGTTTCCAGGATGTCGTGGTGAGAGGGTGCGGGTACTCACTCGTGTGTGGAGACAGAGCACGCAGATGCGGCCAGTGTTCACCACCTCCCGCACTGAGTCTACGCTGGTGCCATAAAGGTTGCGCTCATACTCTCCAAACTCAACGAATTTCCCTGCTGTCACATCGGCCTCAAAACTTGACCGCGACACAAAGTGGTACTCTCTCCCGTTCAGCTCAGTGGCCCGGGGGCTCCGAGTGGTGTCTGTAACACGGATGGAAAACAAGACACACCAAATAACTTACAGTTAATCACACAGTTATATGGAAGAGAAAGTGCTACACCATCAGATATTGGCACCGGTGTGCTGTGGTTGTAAGAGCGTCATTATTGGGAGGTACCGGCCTTCACAGAATGCCTCTCAGCCAATCACACTGCGAGGTCAGAAGTCTGGTATAATCATTGTTTGTGAGTTTGGACTGTGCTTTTAACGTATGGTGGTAATATTAGGGGAGGCTGATTAATTAAGGAGAGAGAGCTCAGAATTTGGGCTGGAGTTCCAGGCAGCTTCTGTTTGCAGCTAGAAGGCTGGGCCCCCCATTGATCTGTGGAAGGACTGACATACGACTGAGGAACAGGGAGGAGATGGGGTAGTGATGGGGATTACAAAAAGTTTGTTTTAGGAAACGGAAGGTAGAAATGGGAATTTATAGGGTGTTAGGTTGGAAGGAAGAGGCGTTTCAGGCATCATCCTCCTCTCAAACTTCAGTTATGCCTCAACTCCGCTTGAAGTGGTTAAAGTCACATTCTCTGATTTTAATAAAAGATTTTTTTCTATCCATTTTAGTTTTATTATGTAGAAATTACAGTATTTTTTATACATAGCCTCCCCCTATTTCAGGGCATCGTATTGTTTGGGACATAGGCCTTTACACAGCTGTGTTTAATCGCTTTATTAGTGCAGGTATGAGAAAGCTTTCAGCATATAGTCTTGACTCTAGGCTTTTCGTCATCTTTGGAGTCTGCTTTTGCTGTTTGTCAACATGAGGACCAGAGTCATAAGGCGAATAAACAAGAATAAAACAGAAAGAGACATCAGCCAAAAGAGAGGAAGGAAAACGCCTCTGAACTCATTGAACAGTTCTTCACTCTACAGCAAGGCAGTGATCGCAAACATATTGCCAAGGCAACAATGAGGTTTTTAAAAGCTAAAAACTGGAAAATTATTGACTGGCTAAGTCAGTCACCTGATCTGAGTCCCACTGAGCATGCATTTCTTACGCGGAAGAAAAAACGTAAGTGGACTAGCCCCCCGAAACAAGCAGGAGCTGAAGACAGGGTGCAGTGCAAGCCTGGCAGAGTCTCACCAGAGAAGATAGTCAACACCTGGTGATGGTTATGAGTCACAGACTTTAAGCAGTCAGTATGCAAATAATATGCAACAAAGTACTGAACATGACTAATTTACTGTGCATACAACTGCTGTGTCTCAAACATTATGATGCCTTGAAAAGGTGTGTGTGTGTGTGTGTTGGAGGGGGGGGGTGTAAAACATGCTGTAATTTCTACATGGTAAAACTAAAATGTATAAAAATACCCCTTTTTAAAATCTGAGAATATGCACTTTAACCAGGTATGAATAGTTTGAGTGCAGATTTAAAACTGTAAATAAAAATAAAAATATGCCTTTGTCCCAAATATTTTGAAGGGTACTGTATATGCACACAGCATATACAACATTGCGCTTAACCTTAACCTTGAAGTCACTGTCCTACTTTCCTGCTTTTGAACCTCACTTTATCTCTGAGATCTGTTTCTAATTTCTCTATTACTGCACTCTGAGGATGTTTAAAGCTCTTACGTGGCACAGCACCGGCAAACCGCTCCGGCTCTACAGACAGCAGTCTTTGTCTCAGATCATCATGGCCGCTGTTTGCTGGACCAACCAGGGCCACGGGTCGCTTACAGTTGCCTGGCTGATGGTACAGTGCCATCTCCTCATAGGTCAGAATATCTTCTGTGTAGCATTCTGGGGTAACAAAATGTTTAGTCTTTAAAACACATACAGCACATATACCAAAACACACAGCATTATACAGTATTTACACTGCTTGTGTAGCTGTCAAGAAGCCTCACTGAGAAAAGGAGACAGACACATCAAACAAAGAAGCTGAACAATGGACTGACCACCCCAGAGTCCAGACCTCAACATCACTGAATGTGTTTGATTACTTCAGAAAATGATCAACCAGCTTCTAAGACTGAACTTTGGAGGTGTGTCTGCAGATTTCTTTGAGAAACTGAAAGTGAGTCTACTAAAAAGAATGGAAGCTGGAATAAAGGTAAAGAATGGACTAAACACATTGAAAAAATAAAAAGTACATTTAGTTGTTGAGGCTTCTGATGCTGAAAAATGAGTAACTTGTATTTGTGTCCCCAAGCAATTTCCATCTAAATTCATTTGCTTTTAAAAACATCTTGTTTACTGTCTCTGTGAGGGATCTGTCAGCACCCAGAAGCCTTTGCTCCGGCTGTGTTTATACACCTGTCTGCTGACCCCAGCACTGTCCTGAACCACTCAGACACAACCTGAGGACTCCTGCTGCGAGGCTGGAGGTGTTTTGTCTATGCCCTGTATGAGCACTAAGAGACAGCACTGAGGTCTAATCTCGGAGAGCAGCATGGAGGACAACAGGGCGAGAGAGAGTGATGAAAAGTCCTGAGTGAAAGCCAGCAAACTGAGCATGGTGCACCCACCCTGATACTTCCTCACTAATATATCAACAGCAATCCAGTTGGAGCCTTTGCCTGAATCTCTGTCCCTGTTAACTGATTCAAATCTGCTTCCAGAGTAGTTGGTGACCGTGCTTGTCCATGTTGGTCAGTAAAAGGGATCAGCATGTGTAATTGGAGCTTTCTGTGAGCTACTGTATTTCCCATCACTGTATAAAAGAAGTTCCATGCTGCCTTTATTTTTTGATGCATTGCAATAGTTTCCAAGCGAGTTTCAGAAGAAAATTAATTATGGAAAAAAAAACAGTATTGACCTGTTTCATCAGAGTAGCAATAAAAGGTGACTCAAGTGTGAAGTATATTCATGTTCATGTAGTTCCTCAATTAAAAAATCAATTTTTGTTTTTTTTAGATGTTCTTCACATATCAAAAGAAATGCATTGACAGCACTGAGATGCTGCATTCTTAATGGAGAAGAGAGAGTAAGCAGAAATAGATGTGTTTTTTCATTGACCTCAAAAGTTACTTTAGAGTGTTTTTAAACTGTGTGTGGGTCCACATTTCCTTACACTAAAAACTAAACAACTTATTCATTAGTTTTATAACAGTTAATGAATAATTCCTAGCAATTACTAAACAATTTATAGTAGCTACTGAATAATTCATTGTAGTTACTGAATAATTCATAGTAGTTGCAAAACAATTCACAATAGCTACTGAATACTTCATAGTAGTTCTGTAATACATTATGATAATTACTGAAAACTTTATAGTAGATAGAATTTAAAGTAATTTAAAGTAACTACTGAATAATTTACAGTATATACTGAATATTTCATAGTATTTCCATAATAATTTGCAATAATTAATTAATTTATAGTGGATATATAATACTTTTAACTGGATTGATTTTTAAGGGGTTAATCCACAGCACTGCTAGAGTAAAATCAGTGAGAAGTTTTGTAATAATTCCAACTGCTAATTAAAATTCCACACTAATGGACACTGTTTAATATCCATAAATAATAATAATTTCCATCCTTCATTACATTACAATTTAGTCTTTATTAATAATAATAATAAAAGCCACAGCTAATTGAATGATGTGCAGGTGAGGGTGCAGTACCCACCTACATTCCTGCTGGGGTTATAAAGGCTCTTTTTTCTTGCCTTCTTGATCTTCTTGACATACCAAAGTTTTCCTGAAGGTATAAAGACAACGGCTTGTTGTTGAGTATTCGGATATAAAACTGTATCAAGTGGAGCAATACTTATCTACACCTATCAAACATAACGTTGGAACAAAACCTCATATCTCTAAAACAGTAACTTTACAGGAGATGGAAAAACTGCCTTAACCTTTTTTTTTTACAAATTCTGTAAAATAAATAAATAAAACTGCAAAAATGGGGATACAAGGTTTTGTTCCAACAGTGACGATACGCATCTTATTTACTACGAGATATTCTAGATTGCTAATGAATTTTTAGTGTAATGGGTTCATATCATTTGTGTATATGTTAGAGGTCCACAGGAGTGGACAGCGTGTTCCTGCTTGCAGTCCTTTCACCTGGATTATCTGGATTTCGGTCTGTGATGGCTTTCTTCAGAGTTTCTCTCTGCTGCTGGAAACTCTTCCCTTACAACAACAAAGCAAGCAGCACAGTGAGAGACTACACAGACACAGCCATCAGCACGTAAATATCATTTTAAAACTCTTCCTGTACCATTAGGTATCTATGAAGCTTTAAAATGTATTTATATAAATTTATACAAATTATAATTTGTATTTGTATTATATATAACATTTTTATATATTGATAACACTGCAGACTTGAAAAATCAAAACTTTATGGTTACTGTTACTTCGAACTTCACAACTACAAAAAGAAGAGCAGTAATGTATAAAGAAACACATTTTTGGCTCTGAAATTGTATACTTTTGTCCAGGAAATATTATACATGTATTTGTTCTAAAAAAAAACCCAAAACACTTCCAGTACTGTAGTGACAGCTGTTTTCAGTGTGGTAATATTAAGTAATGTCAAGTGTTATAAAGCTAGATGCAATAATACCAGGTTTATAAATACTAAGTGCTATAATGCCAGGTGTTATAACACTAAATGTGATGCCAAGTTATTTTTATATTAACTGTCGTTAATCACTATAACGTTAGGGTTGCAATGCCAGGTGTTATAAACCAAATGCTAAAACTTTAAAGGCTTTGTAGTTTTAAGCTGGCTTTAATTGCATGTTGTGAGTTGCTTGAAACATAATTTCAGCACAACTTGACAGTTGTACAAAGTAGTTCAAAAACAAAGTTGCATGCAACACATTTACTTGCTCTACTAGATCATCTGCATGGTGTTATTTACATATTTGTATATTTTTTCCTTCTTCTGTAAACACTAACTGTTGTAATGCAAGTTTTTTGTCATCTTGCTGGATTAGCTCCTCACCAGGTATGAGGCCAGCCAGCCGCTGATTGTCGTCATCTCCGTCCTTGTAGGCCTGCCACCAGTTGGGGTCGTCCTGGCTGAGGACGTGCAGGATGTCTCCTTTCTGGAAGGACAGACCGAGCTCTCGACAGGGCAGGTACGGGTCATCTGCAGGCTCATAGCTGAAATAGGCCTTCACATGCATCTGAGGAGATATTGTAGGTGGTATGCATGTTTTGTGTAATAACTCAACACTATTTAATATTTTTTTTAAATCACATACAGTTGTATGCAAAAGTTTGAGCGCCCTGGTCAAATGAAGTTTTGTTGATTTTCTAAGTGTGAATAATTTAACACATTCACTACAGAGAACACATATTTTAATACATAGTTACTGTCTATTTGCTGTTTAATTAATTTAGCATATTAGGGAAAAAACATAAAATGCAGAAACTGTGCAATAAAAGTTGCAGTACAAAAATACCATATTAAAGTTTTCTGGATGTATTAACTTATTTTTACTTAGAAAATTAACAAAACGTGTTACTTTTCACTTGGAAAAGCAAAAAACATTACATTTCATTGTATTTTATTTTATTTTATTTGTCCTTTAGAGAAATATTGTTAACAGCCTATGTGCTTGTCTGGTCTGTTCAGTGTTCTACATGTCATATGTGTGCCATAACCAAGACTAAATCCTTGTATGTGTAGCATACTTGGCGAAATAAAGTGTTTCTGAAAACATCTGCCGGGATGTTCTGCATACGACTGTATATAATACTAAAATGTAAAAATATACTAGAACGATATATATTTATATAATCTACATATTGAATATTGTATTACTACTACATACAATATAATAAGTAATAGAATATTTTGTTTCAATTTATTTGATTGGTCCACTGTTGATGGTTTGTAGATAATTAAGTATAAAAAAATCTTTCAGTAACATTCAAAGAAATATCTATTACATGTAATAGAAGCTGTGTGTGAAAGATTCCATTTAAATCTAACCCTAAACCTAACCCTAAACTCAAGGCAAAACTACAACTACTCCTGAACCTAATCCTAACCTTAATGTTGTTGATAATAAACTGAGTATCACCAGAAAGTTTGTTAATTATTTAAGTATTGTAAATCATCTATGTGGGACCATCAAATAAAGTGTGACTACAGATGTTTATAATTCCTTTTAACTCAATCCAATACCCTGAACGCACCCAGCTGTAGTGGAGCTCTTACCACAGTCTGCCTGTGTGCCGGGGCTTTGTGCCGTGAGCTGGGGATCAGGAGGAAGGTGAGGGTCCCATGCATGTTTGACTGGAGAGAAGACAGACAGGCAAAACAGACATTAACATTACGGTACTTTACACAAACACTCCTTAATCCTGGCGCATCACAATGAAAGGCCGACAGGCAGGAATTAAAAAATAAATATTGGAAAAGTCATGTAATAAATGTACAAAGAGAATTTGGCTTGGGGTTTGTATTCCACATTTTCCTTATATTTTTTGCCCCTGAACTTCTCTAACATCAGTTGTATGACCATTTTCCAACCTCTCTTCATCCCTTACAGTGAAACAGGCTGTTTTTGTTACTGTGCGATTAAGATTTATATATGTAAATGAGCTCTTTTCTGATTAGTTGACTCCTATACAAGACCTCGTTCACAAAGCAGTCTGGGCTGAAGTATACAGAACGAGCTATTAGATGTGGGCTAAAATAGGCTGAATGGGCTTTGGTATGTAAATGTACAGTAAGAGCAAACAAATACTTAGATACTTCAGTTTTGTTATTTAATTTGTCCAGTGCATAATATCTTCTTTAAATGTATACACACTGACTGTATACTTATAAATATAAACAAAAAACAATGTATTCATAAAAATAAACCAAGATATGCTTAAAAACTGTGAAAAAAGGTACTCAGACACTGTATCTTATATATAAATTTAAACAATTATAACTGTAACTATAACTCTCTCTCTCTCTGTCTACATGTATTTATATTTATATATATAATATATAATATATATATATATATATATATATATATATATAATTGTATATTTTTTGCATATATTGTAGTTTGCTGAGAGGATTGGGCCAAAACTGAACCTCCATGCTGCAAAAAGCTAATCACTTCTTGACTGTAGACGACTCGAAGCTGTAACTGCCAACAATAACAAGTACTAATGTTAGTCATTTGTGATGTCTGAAAACTTTTCTTATTACCCTTATCAATTTTGTTTTTTAACCATATCTTTGTTCATGCTCTGAAATACATACTTTTTTGTTTGTATTTGTAAACACAAAGACAAAAGACATTATGTGTGTGTAAATCTGAAGTGGATATATGCACTGAAATTATATTAAATAACACAGACAAAAGTCTGAATGCTGGTTTCCCTTCACAGTATTCATGGTTGCAACATCACAAGCCAAATTATTTTAAAACAGGTTGTTTTTGCAGATTTGCAAATTCCATAGATTGTATAGACCAGGGAATTAGCATTTTTTTTCAAACTGCAATAATGATTAAATATTACAACAAAGGTTTATTTCAAAGCTTACGCACAAATATGATTTCTTATACCTGTCAAACAGAGATAATACTGGCCTACAGCCGTTCACAACTTGTGCTTTGGAGGTTTGTCTCACCAGGATGTCGTGGACTTCGTTGATGTTTTTGCCTCGGACAGGGATACCATTTATCTCCAGGATTTCATCTCCTTCACTGAGGAGGCCGCTTCTGTCTGCTGCGCCGCCCTTCACCACCCGACTCACCATCACACAGTCATGCTCATTCCTCACTGTCGCACCCTGACACACACACACACATACACAAAATTCAAAATACTGGATTCAATATTAATGAAAGAGTTTGTTTGAAAGAGTTTGTTTGTTTGGCAGAAGCATGTCAAAATTTTGATTTAGTACCTCAAAATAATGATTTACTTTGTTGAAATATTGATTTAATTACCTGAAGTATTTAATTAAAGAAATTAAACAATTATTTTGGGATGACAAGTCACTTTTTGACATGGAAAGCTAATATTTTGAGCAGAAAATAAATGTTTACATTGAAGGTTAATATTTTGAAAAAATAAGTCATTACTTTCACACAGTAAGTCAAAACTTTGAGAAAATTTGTCACTATTTCATCAGTGAGTTAATATCTTGAGGGAAAAATCATTTTGACATAGTAAGTCACTATTTTAACATACTAAGTAAACAATGTGACATTCTACTTGGCATGAATGGGCTTCCATAGTTATGTACAAAAATGGGAAAAATAAAAATAAAAATATGGCTTAATTGTAGCTATGTACTTTTATTAATTTCTGTAAATAACAGTATCAGGACTAACTGAGGAACAATGAGGATGCTTAAAGTTAAACATCATTTGATGGAATGAGTTGAATCACCTGTTAAATGGCCTAAAATTAGCCTTGTGTAGCCTGTATTAAGGTTTCCAGGTACGTACCAGTGGTATGTCCCGGGCCTTCTCCAGACGCACCAGCTTAACTGTTTCTCCTCCATACTGGGCCAAACTGAGCTCTGGGTCCAGCTCCCGCTCGGCCACACAGTCATGAGCCTCCATCAGAGCCTGCAGAACAAACACATTCAGCATCACTGTTCTTACACATGTAATAAAAATTAAACCTGTAGCGTGACCAGATCAACACAGAAATAAACGCAGTGAGAGAATCAAAGACAGTATAAAGCAATGAGAGCATTAATGGCGTGATACAAGATGACAGCAGCAAGAACTACAGAATCATAGCCACAATGCAAAACTATTTTAGTTCTGTGTGACAACAGTGAATGTAAACATTTATGCTGGCCTAGATGGAGAAGGAAAGTCATCAGATCACCCCCTGCTGGCAAACAATGAATTGGAGGTGATGCCTGTTACAGCTATACAATATAATGTGCCATTTCACCCCCATATTCAGTTATGTTTTCCAAACGATTATGTGTGATTATGGTTCAGTGTAGTGGGAAACTCTCCATGCAGGAGACAGGGGTTCAGTTCCCTGCCCAGGCTAGTTACCCAAGATGACCTGGAAAAGATCGTCTGCCAAATACGTAAATGTAAATGTATGTTGAGCTGAGAATGTTGCTATCACCTGAAAGGATGTCCACTGACTGGCCACTTCATTGAATTCACCTCCATGTATCTATGCTCATAGTCTATTATATCAGCTCCACTTACCATTTAGGAACACTCTGTAGTTCTAAATTACAGACTGTAGTCCATTTGTTTCTATTATTTAGGTGGTTACCACGGCGGTGGCGTGTTAGCGTGTGTTGTGCTGGTACAAGTGGATGATGGAGTTTTTGAACACTGTGTCCACTCACTGTCCACTCAATTATATACCTCGTTGGTCCACCTTGTAGATGTAAAAAGACGATTGCTCATCTGTTGCGGCACAGTTTGTGCTGGTTTTCCTCTAGTCCTTCATCAGTGGTCACAGGCAAAGCCCACAGAACGTTGTTGGCTGGATGTTTTTCATTCTCAGTCCAGCAGTGACACTGAGGTTTTAAAACTTCAGCAGCACTGCTGTGTCTGATCCACAGGGCAAATACTCTGTCTAAAGTGTTGCATGGAGACCTGTTGTTCAGACTGGGTTGTTGCACACGTACAATGCGCTCTTCATCATTCCTGCAAACACTGCTCTCCTGAACTCTCTTCAACGGCACAAGAAATTATTTGCAACACAGTCCTAACAGCCGGCAGCAAGAGTGACTCGTATTAGAGTGAAACCTGAGTGTGAGTGGAGTTCTTAGCTCTTAGAGGTTTTTCCTGCCTCTAATTTTTCCCCTCTTTCTATCAGCATCACATATGAGTGAGCTCCCACACCACCAATCAGTGAGTCCTCTAAAATATATATGGGGGAATGTGTTTATTGACCTGTCCAGGGTGTATCCTACCTTCCACCCAATAACTGCTGGGATAGGCTCCGCCCCCCCCCGTGACCCAGAAGGATAAGCGGCTTAGAAGATGGCATGTACTTGTAGGAAAGCCTCCGGCCTGAATCTGGCTGGACGGCTGTGGCCTATCTTTGATTCAGGGTCAATAATGTGTGCTGCTTCACCAGTAGCACCAGCTGAACTGCAGCAATGGCAGGTTGAGAGTGTGCAAGCTGCCTCGCTAAGCCTAGGTAGATAAATTAATTAATTGCTGTGAAATTCTTGAAATCATGATGAAATAAATACCAGCCTTAAATACAAAGGAAAAGACGTAACAATTAAGTTAGAATAACTCAAATGTGTCAAACTATCTAAAGTCAGACATCTAAGAGATAGACTAGCTGGCCAGCATAACACCTATGTTGCTAGCTAGTATAACTTTTAGATGTCCAGCTTTAGATGGTTTGACACTTTTGACACTCTCAACCTGCCACTGCTGCAGTTCTGCTGGTGGTACTGGTGAAGCAGCACACATTATTGATGCTGAATCAAAGACAGGCCACAGCTGTCCAGCCAGAATCAGGCCGGAGGCTTTTCTGCAAGTACATACTTGCTCAGCTATGCTTGCTCAAAAAAATCGCAGTATTTAAAAATAATGACAGTTTTTGACCTGTCAAATTTCAATTCCATGTCTGAACAGCCAAATAAACAAATTCCACTTATTTACCTTTTAGAGGAATCACTGAGTGGTGGCGTGGGAGCTCACTGATGATAACAGAAAGGGGGGAAAAACATCTCCCTGCTGGAAAAAACAGCACAGGCCAGCAAAACCGGCATATGTTCTGTTTTGAATGCTGGTATGCTGGTCAACCAGCATGACCAGGCTGGGTGACTAGCAAATTCAGCACTAGACCAGCACAGACGAGCTCAAACCAGAGTGGAATGTATACTGGTCTGTGCTTTTTTCAGCAGGGCTAATTTACATTTTTGTAAAAAAATTAGTAAAAATATTAAGTATGAAAGATGTGTTAGCAATCTAGCTTTCTAAAATAGAGCTACGGCCTGTAAGCTCATCGACCACATGCTATAAGGAATGTCACAGTGAAAATTTATCACCGATTATACACGTCACACAATACGCTAGTGGCCTAGCAGGTCTAGAACTGGATCTTCTTTACTTCATTTCATGTGGCAGCAGAACTTTACAGTCAATAACAGTCAGCCCTTCTCTCACCTGCAGCGCCAAACCTGAAGCAGGCTAATCCCCAACCTACACAATCCTCCATAATCCTGCTTTACATTAAGCAGCCAGCCAGCACCATCAATCACGTAAACTATCCTGCCCACACTTAACACAAATCACCAACAGTATCTTATCTGAACAATAAACTCTCAGTGAAGACGGTCTGCTTATCTTAAATAGAGAAGATTTTTATTCCAGTAGATCAGCAGTTCAGATTCCTCGCTGACACACACTAAATGCTAATTTAACTGCATTGATTTTAGAATGTTAGAATCCATTATAATAATATTCAATTAAATATGCACTGATTTTTTTGGCCAAAATAAAAATTTTAAATTTTAACCACAAAATAAAAAAATCTTAGAACTTTGACAACGAAATATGACAAATGCAAAATTTAATATTTAAGTTGCTGCAGTATTTCTAGATGTAAGGTAATGTAAGTAAATTTGTGATTGTTGACCCCATGTTAAGGCCTTAGCTTGTGTGCAGGTGGATCGGATATGCTCATCAGAGGCTTTTGCATAAATTCGACCAAACCAGCTCAAGTGCACGCTGTCACTAAAGCATAAAAATTATACCAAAAATCAAAGAAATTCTGAAATGTAAGCAAATCTTTCAAATACTCTACTCTTTACTGACAATGTAATATGCTGATAATGTAATTTGTAATGACAAATTCTGTATTAAATTACAAAATAATGCAAAATAGAAGCATTTTCACTACCGACCTCAGACTATTGGACTCCCACTTTGTAAAGAATACTGTGTAAGGCTTCATTATCTAGATTCCATTACTATGTAAATAAGCACATTTACGAATTCAATGCATTTTTTAAAAATTGTTTAAAATTGTACCAAAATGGTCTAGTCAAACTGTGCTAAATTTGCAATGTCATGTGGTTGCACTCATTTCCTAAAGAACTGTACAGGACCTCTTAGAAAGCTCTACAACTTTAATTACCAGTAACAGTGAAGGCAGCAGGCTGTGGAAGCAGTGAGGGTTCCTGACGGAGTCACAGTAGGAGGCAGAGAAAAAGCCTCTTTCTCCAGCACCTCCTAATAGGATCTGACACTGCCGGGGGTCAGGGGTGGCGCCCAGCGGCCGCACGCAGTCACGAGGCTGAATCTCTGCTCCACAGCCAGACGCAAACTCTGACGGCCAAATGGCTTCAACAGCCCAGCAGGAGCAAGAGGCACACCAAAACACACCGCACGAATCCTGACTGTGTAATGTACAAAACTGCAATGTAATGTCCAAACATGCAGTTTATAGGATGTGCGTATAAATAAATGCAGAATGTGCTTCTCTTCTGAATATGCATTTGAGAAAGGGCCATAAAAAACATGACAGAATTGCACAAATACAAATACAAATCAATCAATCAAATACTGAATACAAATCAAAGTGGATTTATTAAAGTTTGAGCATCTTGTGGGAGCCAGTTTTGCATCAATATTTAAAAACAAGCAATAGAGTTTCAGAAGATGTGCTGTTGAGAGACTTCCTTCAGTTAGATGGAGGCATAAGCTTCAAGCATGTACTAAAAGAAAATCAACCAGCAAAATAACACTGCTTAAACTCTTAGGACCAGATGTTTGTATAATAATAATGTTTTGGTGAAAAAAAATTTAAGATGTGGCTGCAATATGAGCATGCAATCTGTGTTACTGTTTCACAAACTCTGTTTTCTAAGCCAGAGTAAAATAACTCCCCTGTAAAATGTTTTGGTGAAAAAAAATTAATTTACTAACAGCTATCTATAGCTAATTATAGCTATATATATATATATATATATATATATACATATATATATATATATATATATATATATAATTATAGCTATATATATATATATATATATATATATATATATATATATATATATATATTCCTGAACAGTAGTTTTTTGTTTTGCTTCGAGCTTGTTGACACCTCCATTATTTCACTGCCTCCTTTAAACCCTGAACCTCACAAGCAGTTAGTGGGCGGGGCTACACACAGATTGCATGATAAGCTGCAGTCTTAGGCCAGAAACATACTCAGTGTAAGAATGTGAATGCAAACACAAATGTCTATGTTCAAACTCAGCATGCATTCTAACTTTACTGTGCTGTTTTATTAGTTATATAACATTGGCAATGATATCTCATATATACACACATAGTTATATGAGTGAACCAGTTTGAGGACAGACTCGTCAAACTGCTGGTCCGCTCTGTGAGATGACCGAAAAAAAGCACGCTGGTGAGACAGCCTTGGCTCTACAGCACCCCTTGCTGCAGCTTGTGGTTTTGTTGTGATATGAATTGCATTCTGACACATTTATATGAACAGTGTTTGTATAGCTCAAGAATTTGCATTCACACACAATTGTGTGAAGTATTTTTCTGGCCTAAAAAAATCAAAAGTAAAGGGGGATACTGCAATTGCATCAAGGCACGCTGTA